AAATTAATTATGGATTATGAAGTGAACGAATTGATTTTGTGTCACGCACTAAATCTAAGGTTGAAAATGCGGGTGGATGTCTGGGTTACGGCATGCGTGGGGGAGGGAGGACGGCGGGCGGAAGTTGTTTAAACTAAAAGCTCATGAAATATATTGCTCTGCAGAGGGGTGGTGGCACGGTTGGAGGATGAGAAAGAGAAGGTGGAGACGAAGAGGAGCACTAACTGAACCAGCCGCCCCCGCAGTCCTTTCGATTAGCTTTCGAGCGCTTTGTACATATGGAGCAGCAGCAGCAGCAGTAGCAGCATTGAAACAGGTGGCTCTACTTCCAATCGATACCTACTATGCACAAGCATCTTAATATACGCTTCCTTCTCTTCATCCTAAACTCCCTTTTTACTCAATAACAACAAAAGATGAAGTGTACACATGTCAGCTGATATCCACGTAATTGATTCAATAGCAACAAATACTGATTTCATTAGAATCATCGTTTTTAATTCTTTGTTTTTGTAAAAAGGATTATTCCTATTAATAAGATTGTTGTTTTTTTGTTGTTTTACTAATTGAATTAACAACGCGTTAATTTGAAGTTAATAAACTTGATAACAACATTTCATAGGGATTATAAAATTAAAACGAATCACACCAAAAATATTTAAAAAAAAACTTCTGTTTTTGGTAATAATCGCTAGTTATAAAACTCGTCCACTCGTAACATTTCTTTTCATTCCATTTCCGAACATGATCAAAGCGAAACGTAGTAAAAACAATACGATTTAATAGATTTTATTGAACTTCCATTCATACTAATTTTATCGTTCACTTTTGACAAATCAAATGTTTATCAATCAATTATTGCTTTTGTTATAAACAATTGAAGTTTATCTAGATTTATAATACATTATGAATTGCGAAATTGTGAATTATAAAATCATTGATTTTGTTTGTTAAATTTTAAAGTTTTGTATAGACATTTCGATGAAACTATTAAATTTTAAAGTAAGCGAACATCGGAATTTCCAAGTGGTTTCCAGGCATTCCGCGAAAAGTTTAGTATGACCCCAAAAATAACGCACAGTCCGAGTTAGAAAACATTGTTTCAAAAAAAAAATAGATGAGTCCTACACTGATTTTTTTTTTGGATTTCTCGACGAAATAACCGTTCCAAAGGTGTGCTAATTGCGGTGTTTTTTCTCTCGGTGTATCTCTCTCTTCCCTATTGTTTTGAACGTTGCAAATGGCTCTCTCGGTTTTTTTTTTCAGTCCGTCCTCGCGTCCGTTACGATGCCAAGTTCAATGACGCGCAAGTCTATTCCGATCCCATAAATACGTTTGAAATGGTTACAAGGCCGTCGCAACGTCGATTATTGTTATTTGTTTCTAAATTTTCGTACTCGGGCGAATTTCACTTTCGTTCGGATGACTTTTAAGGCCCTTCGAGAGTTGCTGCTGTTGCTGCTGCTGCAGTTAATTGCTAATTAAGACCAAAGGGTCGGTTGCGCTAGTAGCTGAAGAACTACTTTATTTACGGTTCCTAACTGCTCGGCGGCTCCTTTTGGTCCCGCTGCGAAACTGACCAAAGACGCCGACAAGCAAATCTCTCTTGACCAGGTATCCAAAAAAAGCAAAACAACAAAAGCAAAAGCAAAACATACACACACACAGCAGACTCGAGCAGCGACCGCTATGAAATATATGTGTGCAAGTCTCGACATCGGATTTTCGCATCATTTAGAATTAAATACGAATAAATTCGCGAATACACGAGAGCATTTATTACGCGCTTTACGTCAAAAGAATACAGCGCAATTTATTATCAAACGCAACTTTATTATTTCGTTACTGCGCACCGTATTTATTTGGTATCCCTCGAAACTATTCAAATTTCACAATTCAAGCCTTGACTTCGGTAATTCCAATCAATAAAACACCTGTTTTGTCTACTTAATTATTCAATATTCTAGCTCACTTTCATCTTACTCAAGTGACATTGAATTTTTAACTGTTTTAACTTAAATTCTCATTATTTGCTTATTTTTCCAAATATTGTAAATAATTGTTCAAAGTATTTCTAGAAATGTGTTGAGAGCAATGAAAATAAATAAATACGCAGATAACGAGAGCAAAACGGTTATGACCTAAAGCAGTGGATTTAACGTTGGATCCTCTCTCATCTGCAAGTTTATCAATTTTTGATAAGCAAAATAAACCGTATGTAATTATTCCGTTTAACTGCGCTTTGTTTTTTTTATTGTACGTGAGCTCTCAAGGATTCAAAAACAACAACAACAGAAAAAAAAAATGAAAACAACAAACGTAACTCTTGCGGAATTAGCAAAGCTTCAAGGATCGTTTTTTTTTATTTCGTTTGCGGATGACATTGAGACCTTCTTTTTTCCCTCCCTAATGATTCATCGAACCCAAATCAGAAGGTTTTTGCAATTGAATTAACATTTATACGAGGTGCTGAAGTTGGAGGAGGTCTCTTGTTACATAAACCGTTTAGAAAATGTAAATGTATTTGTATTTCGGAGAGAATGCAGACAATCCGTTTCGATGGTCGGCTTATGGATGTATAAAAATATGTCGCTCAGAGATGAAGGTAAATCCGCCACTGTTTATTATATAAAACCTTTACGCGCCCCGCTGTTCCCGATTTATATTCCCGTCGCTGTTGCTCTGGGCGCAGAAAACGCGACGCGCAACGTTGATATGGAAAGTGGCGTGCGCGCTCCTCCCGAATTTCCATCGGTTCGAGTACTTCAAAAAGCGAACAATAAAACAATTATGTAAATGGAGTTTTATCGTTTCCTACGATCATAAATATTTAAAACTGTTATTAAAACGTTCCCCCCGTTCACATTATGGACGCAAATAAGCGTCGTGTCCGATTTAATATTGATTTTCAATAACTTCATCGCTAATTGAATACCGCCGACTTGTACACATGTTTCAATAACATCTATGGCATCTTAAACATTGCGTACTAACACGTAATATGCGCGGAATTTGCTGCCGTAGTTTGTTATGAATCAAACGCGTTTATACAGATATAATTGTATTAAGTTTCACTGTGTTTAAAGCAACAGTTTATTTAATATTTAAGCGATATTGTTCTCACTTTCACGCAATAATATTAATTTCAAGACTTATCAAATGATAATGACGATCACCACCAATAATATAGATTGATTTTATAATCCGAAGGTTAGTTTTAACGAAAATAATCATGTTAACCTAAATATTATAAAACTAAAAATTCCTTCGCGTGCAGCCATTGACGTCATCACTGTTTATAGCATATACCGTGTTTAAGGTAAACGAAGACAACACAAATTTAATTCGCTTCGAGAAAACAATAATATATACAACGTGTATTATCTGTATTGATTTGGGCGAATACAAATAGTCTAGTTCGGTGAACAAATAAACTTGTTTCGGATATTTGTAGTTCTTGTTTTAAATACCTTAATATTTAGTAAATAGGAATATTATACATATTGTTTTACTTTGTTCAATCAAAATCTTCGGATTTTAGAAAGGTTTTTTTTTTCCATTACATTTATACACATATATATGTGCGTTGAGCTAAAAATACTCGCGGCAAAACTGTTACGCGTCCTAGATACGGGCAAGACTTGCCGTTTCCGCAACACCGAACGAAAAGAAAGCGCCTCGCGCTCAACAGCAATCATTTAGTTATTTTGTACGTGTGTACGAGTTGTTTCTCTTTCTAACTCGAGGCAGGTCGACTGAATTCCCATCTATCTGTTGCGATCGTTCGCCAATTCCCAGCAAGAAATCAAAAGCGCGCAGACGTTACCTTGCACAACGCACCATCAACCTGACGACCTAGGCTAATCGAGCGTGTTAATTTGCAAAATCGTCCACTACACGAAAGTAGCAATCTTGTTCTCTTCTTCGATTTCGTGCGGCGCGGGAACAATTACAAATTTTGAAAATGTTTCGCTCATCCGAGCGTGAAAGTCGCGGATAGTGAAAGTGAGTCGAGGAACGCACGCTCACCTCACCGAAGAACGCACATTAATTGGATATTACGGTGTCGTGTGGATGGATGTATGGATGTAGTAGGTATGTTTGTGATCCTAGCGGTTCCTTCGCTCTAAAATATAATATACACGGCGACAGGAAAGAATGATTCAAGTTATTTTCTCGTTTTATTGCCGTGTGAAAATTACGAAATCGCGGTTAATTGGAAGCGAAACAAAAGCACGAAGAATACGAATAGGAACAGAAAAAGAAAAATAGAAGGAGCACGGTGGAGAGGAGAGTAGTGTAACGCGAGGAAAAGTCCCGACCTTTTCACCCGTCATCGTCTCAGTGGTCAAGCTGTTATGTTAATATCAACGCGAACGTTCCATGTGTTACGCACAAGTTCATGGCCGTTTCCTGAGCATATACGTACACATATGTATAAAGAATAATGAAATATATAAAGTCCTCATCTTTCTCTCGGCGGACGCTTTATCGTCGCCTTCATTATTATCAGGCATTCCGACAAATGGAATCTTTAAAGGGGGACGAGAATATGTATGTGCAGTATATGTATGAAAGTATAATAAAATAAGAAAGGGTCCCCTCCGTACTTCAATAATATATTCACGACTTGCGTAATAGTTTTCATGCGCCCGCGTACAATTAATATCGCATGCAACATTATCTGACGTAGACTAATTATGATATCAGCGGCATTAGTAATAATGTAAAACCAGTGACGCAATTTAACAGCGACGATCATCTCTCGCCGTTCGCAGTCGCAGTCAGTCTGTTCTAGCAACGCTCGTGCGACGGTCGCAATTAAAAACCAATCGAAACGACGACTAATCGATCACACAACACCAACAACTCTTTATACTATTATTACATACAACCGTTCCAAATATATTTATTTATACGATGTTATTGATGGTGCGTGTGCGTATGTTGTATTTAAAACGATCGCTAATGTTGTTGTTTTTTTGTTGAAATTGTTGCAGATTTTGGACGAGATGAAGTCGCCGCCAATGATCACCGACGACAGCGATGACATTTTCGGGCCACCCCGCACCTACGATGATTACTGTCCGCCGAAGAGCAGACCTTCGATGATATCACCGAAATACAAACAAAAGGAGGAGAGGCGCAAAGTGCTCAAGATCAGTTTGCAAAAGTTAAAGAAGATCGACGATCCGGAGAACAATTTGTGCCGCTCAGTGCTGATCAACAATACCATTCGTCGTCTGAACAAGGACGGTCGCGACGAAATCCTGCAAAAGCAGCAACTGAACTATCCACGATGCTACGACAACGATAACTTTTTAAACATCAAGAGTGAATTTATGAAGAACGAAATGCGCGCTTTCGACGAACCCAACGATCACGTGGAGGACGTCGTCGACGAGGTGGCGCTGAACAAGATCGACCTGACCAGTCTGGACAGCCTGGGCGACTTCACCGAGAACGGTGTCAGCAATAAGAGGCCCCTGGAGGATTACGACGAAGGAGAAGTTAACGACGTCTTCACGCATCTGTATCTGCCACCTACACCTAGGCTACTCACTTCCATCGACGACGACGAGGACGTCAATGTGGTTGACATCGAGCCACCGGCGAAAAAAATGCGCGTCGAGCAGCCAGAGGAACTTAAAATCATGGAAAGTCCCAAGGAGGACCGCATCAATGAACTCCTGATCAACAACAACAACAACAACAATAACAACAGCATTAACAGCATGGAGACGGACTCGCGGCTCCGTTTCTTGGGACAATCCATGGACGCAGACACAAACAGTTTTAGTTGCGGCCAAGTGTCCCTGTTCAGTGATATCCAAAATAATGTTTACCATAGTCTGATCGCATCTTTGGAAACGTAGCGTACTCAAGAACCAAATCAGTAGTAAAATTCCACCGTTTTTTTATTTCTATTTAGTTGTGATATATTCAAAAACAAACAAACAAAAAGTAAACAAAACATAAATCATCTTTTTTTAATATGGTTTTCATCATTTACAAAAAATTGGTCACGATTTTTTTCTGAAGTTTTATATGATATATAGAGCAACAAAGCGACTGTGATATTTATTAAAAAAAAAAATAAAATAAAAACAAATCTATGTAATCTAAAAAAAATCTTTTAGAACAATTGTATGGATGGGCGCGCGAATGAGTGGAATTCTTTAATTAATTAAAACTAGTATTGCAATATGAAGCTTATGTAATTGGATAGTGTGATAGAAAGAGCGAGTGAACGAGACATTTAATATACGGCATATGATAGTAATAATTATATGCTAAATCAATTGAGTAGTATGCTATTATTCGTGCGCGATTGTTGTGGCTTTTGTCCTTTCCATCCTATCACCCATCCATCATTACGAACATATTTTTGAATCCTGTCCTCTCTCGTCCCAAAAATAATCAACAATAAGAAAAATTGAAAATACCAACCCTATCATATCATATTTTTTTCACTTATAAACTATGTATTTTTGAAATTAGATTTTTTTGAAAAGAACATGGAAACACACGGAATTTTATCGTCAGCAAAATGCATTTCTATTTTAATTTAGATGCACACGTACTGCATCGTTTATATAATACATATATTTATATAGAGTAATTTCAATTTACATTAAATTGGGACCAATTTATGGAGTTATATAATCAAAATGATATATTATCTTTGCTTTGTGTTAGAACAATAATAAATCATTCTTATCGGTGTCCAAAAAAACAAAACAAAAATTAAATGTTCTTCGATTCACGATTATTGTTTCGAAATGCATTTTGGTGCAACTTAAAAGACCCTGTATTTCTTCTTTCAACAAACAAAACAAAATAAAATGTCAAAACGTAAAAGAAACAATTGTATAGGAACCAAAAGCAAACAACAAAAATATCAAAAATTCCAAAATTTTGAAAAGTTAAATAAGAAATGATCCCCCCTTTTTAATATTATATGGCTTAGATTCCCAAGTGCTTATAAATAAATTTAATAAATAATGTGTGTCTCTACAAAAAAATATTATTGTAATAAACAAATGTAAACAATATCTTTTAATATTATTATTATCATTATATTATAATAATTTTTATATATTTTTTTTAACGCAAACGTTTTTAAAAGAATAATTTATTGATTTGATCATCTTGTGTCATTATTATTATTATACTATTATTACTATTACTATTATTTTCTATTATTATCCTTATTATTATTATTTGATTAATTTTGTTCTTTTTTTATATTCACATAAATGCATACATATATTTATATTACTTATGTAACAAAAAAATTATTAATTTAAATTTGAAGGAACGGTTTTTTTTCTTTTGTAATCATGCAGTTTACCAAATTAAGAAAATACTAGGAAAATGTCCAAAAAAAAAATACATAAATGTGAAAACGTCGAATGGAGAGTAAAAAACGAATATTGAAATGTTACCGTAATTTTACCAATATTTTACTATCATTATTATTATTTTATTTTTATTATTTGTAATATATTATTATTATTATTCTTATTACATTTATTGTATTATAAAATGATGTACATTAAGCATTAACTGTGTTTAAAACGGATAATGCAATAAAGTACCTGAAAACTATCCAAATAACTTTATTATTATTTTAACAATTCCAAACTATTAATTGGGAACACGTTACCCAGCTTCAGCACGTGACTCAGTACTAACTGAATAGAACTAGTCAGAAGGAGATCATTTTCAGGAAAAAAAAAACACATTTAGATTGCTGAAAAATGCATTTATTACTGATTGATTATAACGAAATGATTTAATGATAAGTTTATTTAATTGCCGAAATGTTGAGCAAAATGGTTGACTAGAAAGTTAAGGTGAAGCGACAATAGTCTTGTTATCTAAATCGTCGGATTATACCATCAGGCAGGTAAGTTAGGTAATCGTATACTATTTTGCGCCGGTGGAAATATGTTATACCTATTATTCTAAGAAATAAAATGGGGTTACAGGGAACAACGGTAAATGTACGCGACCAGAATCGGAACCAAAAAAAAGAAACGAAAGCGAAGCTCTCAAAAAATTACGGACAGAAAACAATCTGAATGAGTTTCGTGGCCATATCTAAATGAGTTAACAATTCTATCTGTTGATGAACTATTACATTAAGATGACAGCCGCAATTTAAAAATTCTTCAGGTTGTTATAATAAGGAAAGTTTAAAATAGATAAATACTTTAGAAACAATTAATTATAAATACATTAGCGCGTATTGTAAACTAACAATATAATTACTCACTTTGTTTTGCGATTGCAAAAGACTGCGACCGTCCGTTCAGATTTAAAATTAACCAACATCGAGCTAGTTAGTTGTGAGGCGCACACTTTAATTAGATCCAATGATACGTTTAATTAATTATTTGCAACGAATTAACCGCGAAATTAATTACAATCACATTGACACGCAACCGCATGCACAGTGTAAATACAGCAATGAAGAACTTTACTATTTGCTAATTACACAGCCGGAAATAGTGGACGTAGAGACAAATATTTATTGTAAGATTGATTAGGAGGAAAACGATTGGATTACAGAATGCGATAATTGTGCGGAGATGAATATAATTGGGTATCGGAATTCCTTTTATTATTTAAAAGGGATTTTGGGTAGCGGGTCCCCTTTATGCGGCAATTTTAGCGGGCCATTGTGTGCGATAAAATTGGCTCCCCTTTTGGCGCAGGGTGAATATATGCAAGTTTTGTGCAATATGGGAAGGATTGTAGTTGGCACGTTTAGAACTCTCGCAAATTTATTGGTAACCTGTAGCCTCGGGGTTGAATGCAAATGAACTTTTCGTTGTGCGAAAGCGACGAGATATACACCTCCGTGTTCTAATTGCTTTATTAATGCCTCTAATATTCTTCGCTCCACTACCACTACTACTTATCATCGAATATTCTGATTTTGTCTGTTCTTGGTTGTGTGTGCTGGAATTTCTACGGAATCGACCTTGCATTGGCATGACGGCATTCACCAACGAACAACACATTCGGTTTAGATCTTTGCTGTTTTCCAAACTTATCCAATCAGGTACCAGGATTTACAACAATTAATACTATCTTTCCGCTAGATTAGTAACTATTTCAATAAGTTCAGTCGAATGTGAAATGAATTTCACAAATATTTCGAAAACAGGAACAGGAATAATGTTATCAACATTTTGATAACCGTATATTTATTTTGATTGTATTTATTGTATAATGTTTAGTATCTTGTTTCCATTGTTTTGTAAATAGTAATCTATTTTATTTTTAGTTATAATCAACAAGAAACATTTGAAGACTGATTATTAGTAACAATGACTTGATATTTTTTACTTCTTACTCATCATCAATATAAGTAAGATGAAAATCTGAGTAAATTTTCCAGTTTGCCAACTTGGTTAAAGTCTAAAACCTCAAGATCCTCAAACACCATGATGTGGTAGCAGAGCTCCACGAACCCGTCAACCCCCTTAAAATAATATGTACATAAATTTACATGACCCCCATGATTAAATCTCTTGATGCGATTATGATTAATGACAGTTCCATCTAGCGCGCGTTCATTGGATCTTATCGATCGGCGAAAAACCGTTCACAAACCATAAAGGAAATGCATGGAATCGTTACGGCTATTATTGTCTGTTGTTGTCGTTATTATTATTAAATAAACCTCGCGAGATTAAAACTTGCTCAATTTTTGATTTGTGCCAGACAACTTTCTCTCTCTCGCATTGTTTTCCAATACGTTTCGATTTGATAACGAGAGTAAATATGCAATTGTTATATATAAAAGGTAACTTTACATATATATTTTTTTAACAGAAACCAATAAACATTATTTATTAATTTCAATTTATTTAAATTATTTAACTTAAATCAAATTAAGAATAATAATTATTTTTCATTACTTTAAGTATCAATTAAATTATGTTTAAAAGCAATCATTTAAAGATTAAAACTTAAGTTTAAATTTAATTCTCAATTATAATTCTGAAACTATAATAATAACATACATTATTTTGAATCTTAATATTAAATTAAATTAATCAAAAGGTTTTCTACTTACTTCAATGTAAGTTCTACTTATATAAAGAAATTGAAATTATGTTACCAAACAAAATAAAGCACAAAATCGACAGGAAAGTTTCTTGTAGTCAAATGTTACATTTTTTTTGTTTCTTTTTATCTCTCGAATGCTTATCATTGTGTTTCATTGTCTCTTCTAAATTCGTAATTAACGAGACTGTTTCTCTTTCTTTAACTCAACGCTTCCTTTACGTTCCTTTGCTCACAGTATATATGATACATTCAACCCTGTTTTATCTGAAATTAATTGATTGAGGAGGTTCTTAGCATTTATTTAAAATATAATTGCCAGACGCTTTTATATTCAAACAAGGAAATCATTCCTCTGGCGGATACATCTACAAGTAATGCAAATGGGTTTAATGACCGGAAATTATAATTTAGCATCGGAAACGCCACCTATACAAGGAAATACGGACTTTTGTTTCATTTACTAAACTATAGTTCGCTACTTTATAGTATCTTTTAAACATAACGGCTTTAATTAAGGAATACACATTTTATATAGTTTTTAATTTTTCGTAGAGTTCATTCAAACTAACTTTAATTTAACCATTTATTAAACATAAATAAATTGGAGATAATAATTACATTAATTAGGCATTAATTAATTGTGCACAATCTGTAATTGTGACTCTGTTAATGAAGAATAATTGTTAACATTGTTATATAATGATATACATTGAAAACTATTTTTCTTTTATTATTATCATTCAATTCATTTTACAATATATACCCGAATTACATTTACATATTTTTTTTGAAATCTCTTACGCAATGTATACAACTAAACGTACGTCTATTCGGCAATATATTTTGTGCCATCTATTGATTGATAGACACATTTGTCTTTTCTAATTTACTCTTCATAAATGTAAAATTTGAATTGATTTGATAATATAAGTTCCCTATTTTTTTGGACCATAAGACGCAGCTTTTCATATAATTTATTGAATTATAATTGAGGTATATCTTGTAGCGTTTTGTCCTATACTTATTACAGTACGTATAGGACTTACGTATTGATAGATACATTTTAAAATATTCTATTATAAGTGAACAATTATAGATTGTATTTCCTATTTATATAAGTATATTGAGTTGCATAATACTGAATTAGTTCAATTCAACCATTTTGACAAATATATATAGACCAATAGCGTTTCGCCACACCTGACAAGTGCCGGTTCCGCATTGTCAATTGGTCAGAAGAAGTCGAAAGGCCAGCTGTTTGTTCCACATGGAACACTGACGTGTATCGAACAAAAATTCAATTATAACTGGTTTCTGTTCCAATTGGAATTATATAGTTGCAAATCAAACGATCTGTAAGTACTGCACACATTCTATAATTCAATATTTGCACAATATTTCTAAAACCAAGCCAGCTGCAGCAAAAAAGTAATTCATCATATTTAAATATCTAAAATATTGTTAATATTTGGTTGATAAGCAAAAATCTAGCAACCAGTGTACTTCATCTATATTAAGCCTGAGCTGTTCTGTTTTAGGTTTTTTGCATAATTTGCAAACATGAAGTTACATCTTGCTTTGGCAATTCCATTTCTGCTGCTAGCATTGAATAAATATGCTAGTGGTCTGGCAGTGATGTCGATAGATTTTGGATCAGAATGGATGAAAATCGGAATTGTTTCACCTGGTGTACCAATGGAAATTGCACTCAATAAGGAATCAAAACGTAAATCTCCTGCAGTCCTGAGTTTAAGAGATGATGTCCGCAATATTGGGGAGGATGCTCAAACTGTGGGTATTAGATTTCCCAAAAGTGCATACTTTTATTTATTAGAATTGCTTGGCAAAAACATTAACCATCCAATTGTTGAATTGTACAAAAGTCGTTTTCCATATTATGAAATTGTGGCTGATGAAGAGAGAGGCACAATTTTGTTGAAGCATGATGATGATGTGTTCTATAGTCCTGAGGAATTGATTGCACAGCTGCTGCACAAAGCCAAGGAAATTGCTGAGCAAAATGCAAGACAGCCAATCAAGGAATGTGTCATAACTGTTCCTGCATATTTCAACCAAGTTGAGAGGAAAGCTTTGCTCCAAGCAGCCCAGCTTGCTGACATTAAGGTCTTGCAACTGATGAACGACCATATGGCCGTTGCTCTGAATTATGGTATTTTCCACACAAAGGACTTCAATGAAACTGCCCAATATGTGATGTTCTTTGATATGGGAGCGAGTTCCACCACCGTTAGTATTGTTAGCATGCAAAATGTTAAAGTTAAGGAGCGCGGTTACACCGAGACCCATCCTCAAATTTCTGTCGTTGGTTTAGGATATGACAGAACCTTGGGTGGATTAGAACTGCAGATCAGACTTAGGGATTATTTGGCGAAGAAGTTCAATGCAGTTAAAAAAACTAAAAATGATGTGTTCGATAACCACAGATCTATGGCGAAATTGTTCAAGGAAGCTGGAAGAGTAAAGAACATCCTATCTGCCAATCCTGATCACTATGCCCAAATTGAGGGTTTATTAGATGATGAAGATTTCAGAGTGCAAGTAACCAGAGAAGATTTCGAAGATTTGGCTGGTGATTTCTTTGATAGGGTCGCTAAACCTGTTGAACAGGCTTTAGCTAGTTCAGGTATCGCCCTGGAATTTATCAATCAAGTGGTTTTAGTTGGTGCCGGCACTCGAGTACCAAAAGTGCAAGAAAAATTACAAGAAGTAGTCAAAATGGATTTGGCTAAGAATTTGAATACCGATGAAGCTGCAACCATGGGTGCCGTTTATAAAGCAGCAGATTTAAGCACAGGTTTCCAAGTAAAGAAATTTATCACCAAAGACGCTGTCATTTTCCCACTTCAAGTGTTCTTTGAGAGAGGCGAAAATAACGGTTTAGGCAAGAGAACTCTGTTCGGCTTGATGAATTTCTACCCACAGAAGAAAACTGTTACCTTCAGTAAACATTCTGAAGACTTCTCTATAACACTGAATTATGCACAATTGGAACACTTGTCATCGGTGGAAATTGGTAATTTAGGCAGTTTGAACTTGACAGAATTCGATTTGAAAGGAGTACAAGAAGCTATGTCCAAAAATGTTGGGGATAACATTCAAAACAAGGGAGTTAAAGTACAGTTCGGTATGGACGAATCAGGTATTTTGAGTCTAACCAATGTGGAAGCCAGTTTCGAAAAATCGGTTACGGATGAAGACGATGAAGGAACTTTATCAAAATTAGGAAGCACAATTAGTAAATTATTCAGCAGAGACGAAGAAGAGAAACCTGTTCAGGAAGATCCCGAAGTTGAACAAAAGGTCGAAAATAAAACTCAAGAAGCTAACAAAACTGCCGAAGCTCAACCAAAAGAAGTTAAACCAAAAGTCATCAATGTTAAAGAACCTTTGCAAGCAATTGAGAAGATCTTGACCATTAAGAGATTGAATAAACAGCAGATTGAAGACGCTACAAACAAATTAGAGAAGCTTAACAAAATCGATCAACAGTTGTACAGACGAGCGAGTGCCTTAAATAGTTTGGAAAGTTTTGTTATCGACGTGCAAAATAAATTGTATGAAGATGAGTATTCCGACTGTGTATTACCCGAAGATAAAGAAAAAATTATCACTGCTTGCTCCGAAACATCCGATTGGCTCTATGAAGATGGAGCTGACGCAGACGCTTTAACTTATGAAACTAAATTAGCGGGATTAAAAACTCTTACTTCGGATTTATTCAAAAGAGTATTCGAACACTCGGAAAGACCTCAAGCTGTACTCGCCCTTCGCGAAATGCTCAATGCTTCTACACATTTCATGGTCGCTTCTCGAAATTTAACGAAAGAAAAGAATCCGGAAAAAGATGTTTACACAGAAACTGAAATCGAAACGTTGGCAAAATTAATTAAAAATACCGAAGAATGGTTAGTGAAACAAATCGCAGAGCAAGATAAGTTGAAGAAACACGATAATGTTGTATTGTCGGTAAAGATTTTGGCTGACAAAATGCAAGAGCTTGATAGGGAGGTAAAATATTTAGTGAACAAATTGAAGATGTGGAGACCTAAAAAGGTTGAGAAACCTGTAGTTGAAGAAAATAATGAGACTAAAGAAGAGCCATCAACTACTTCTACCAAAGGTGAAGAGAAGGAGGAGGAAGCTGCTGAAAGCACAAATAAAGGAGAAGAGACAGAAGAGAAGGTGACGCCAACTGCAAGCTCAGATGAAGAAAAACATTCAGAGTTATAAATTGAATCATTTAAAACTAGTGTAATTTAAAGACTTTAAAAGCAACCGATCCCCGTTTCCTTCTTTCGGGACAACTCTACAGTTATGTTTTCGTTTTACTTAAAATCGCATTCTTTGTTCGTTGTGATACTTAAATAATTCCAGTTTTTTTTTTCATCTCCATGTGAACTATGAAATTAGTTGCAACATTTAGTATTTAATTATTTAATTTGTTATTGTAATATTGTGGAAAACATTGTCTATATTCAAAAATAATGTTGTTTTTTTTTTAAGTTGTTGTTTATTTTTCCTCTCATTTTTATATTGTACCCAAGCTCTCCTGTATTTACTTGATCAGGTGAAAAAATGGTATAAATGTTCTGAAATAAAACTATCAAATGTAATTTAATGATTACAATTTAATAATATTCAATACTCGGCATCTAGTACATTAATCGTTAGTATTTCCTCTATATAAATATATTTATTAAGATTATATATAATATATTTCAAGCCGTAATATACGACCTTATCACATATTTGTATAATTCTACGAAATATACTATTCCTTCGAGAAACAACAAGTCTTATTAATACAAATTAAGGTAGTACCATATAAATAAATTGGTTAGTTTCGAAAATTTCGGCAGTCGCACGGAATTACATAGTAATATGAAATTTCCGACGAAATGGTCTCAATCTCTGTATGTATATAAGGTATATTGGCAGTTAGTTTAATGTGAAAGTTTCGTACAGTAGAAATGGATAATAGTTAAAGGAAAAAAATATATTAGGAATTACTTAAGCTTTACTTTCGGATAATTTCTTCTTGCAATCTATTATTATCTCATCTCCTGACCGAATGTTGTAGCTGTATAGTTGCTTGTGAGGATATTTCATCTCTTCTGGACCCTAAATTTAAAAGCAAAACATATACAAGAACTCGATTATTAAAACTTTGCGTTACATACCTGCATATCTCTCAAATCCTGATCGACGTAAAACAATCTCATTCTGGCAGCGCTGAATCCTGCGAACGGCTCCAATTTCGATTTCAAATCCAGTACGGTTCTGTATACATCCATCGAGCGAGTTTCGCTGTTGGAACCGCAGGTGAAAGTTACTTTGACCCGTTTTTCAGGCCGCAAATCCACATTGACCAGAGGATCGAGTTTACCGTGTATTTGGACTAATTCCAAATACCGATCCGGTCTATCGCTCTCTGGTTTATCCATGTAATAGCGTATGAAAGCTCTCTCTGCATCCTCCCGTTCGTCGTGATCAATGCTCCCGCCACCATTCAACATATCAACATTTGGTAGACGAGCAATAAGCAATTGTCTCCGTTCGTGTTCAGTGTACTCGCTACTATCCCAAAGTGGACAACCCTAAAATACACATGTAATATCTATTACAAAAACAATAAATAACTAGCGCTTATACTTGGACTCTAAGGCACTGCAATGTTGGAAATTTCGATAATCTTTCTATATCATCCCAAGTGGATAAACCCGATGAATTCAAATTGAGAAACTTCAGTTGCCTAAAGCTGTCGTGTGGAGATTCGCTTCTTTCTTCAGCTTCACTTTCACTCTCCGTCCGACGCCCTCCGTTACTGTTCTCCTCTCCATCGACGTCCAGCGATTCAATGGGACAATTCGCGACAACCAAGTATTCCAAATTCGGAAAAGCGTACCCTAACTTACAAACTTCTTTCCACTTACTCACGGGGTTTCCAGTAAAATGAACCTTCTTCACACCCAAGTGTTTATGTCTCTGTTTGTAGTCCATGCGAGGACATTGGCAAAACGGTTTACCCTCGTCTTCGTTATCACAGTTACATTTGCATTCGCATTCCTTGCAAATATTAACGTCTTTATATTCGTTTAAACTCAGATGGAGTTCCTCGAGAGTCGGCGAGTAATCCAATATTTGACTGACGTTGTCCCAATCTATTTGGGTCGAGTTCAACACGAGGTTTTTCAAATTGGACCATTTAAAATCTTTCAGGTCGACGCCAGCATTCTGAAGCGGCTGCGAAAGCTGATTGAAACTCAGATTGACGAACTTCAATCTTGGCATTTGCTGAAGAATACCCAGGATCTGTTTAAAAATAAAAAGATTACATATGCGGAATAATAATAAGTTCTTGAAATGCGTTACCTCAGGCCAACAATCCAGCTTGTTCTTCGCCAGATCCAGTTCTTCGACGGCAGCGCATTTATCAATTAAGGCATCTCTTTCACCGGCTGTTGCGATATCACAATCGTTCAATACCAGAAGCGATGGAACGATCATTCGTGGCGATCTTGCTGGCACGAAAATAGAGACACACAGCTCCTCTTCAGAGTTCTCGGATTCGGTTGAACTTTCGCCTCCATACTTTTGCTCCAGTGCTTCCACCAACGACGGCATTGTTGCTTGCGATTACTCTGTAATTGAAACATATTGTAATAATACTATCTATATTATCTGTAGTATATTAGACTGTAGATAGAGGCCAGTATTTAGATAATAATAATATCATTCGCAACCGGAGATCACAATCAAGTGAAATGCAACAGTTCCTTTTCCGCTCGAGAGGATTCGCAGTTTCACTGAACGCTCGATTCTCTGTTTACCACTATTGCCTTCTCATTAATCTAACCGACGACGTAATAGGTTTTCGCTGAAGCAAAAATGAAAGTTGTGCGGTTGGGGCGAAAGAAGAGCGCGGACGCCCGGAAACGGAAATTACCAATCAATCGGACCGAAATCGAGTTCTCCTGTGCTCATGTTTTTATTTACGCTATGTTCGTTTGTTTATGCAACAAAATCGCGGAAACTGAGTGAAAATGCCAAGGCCAACTAGAATTGTACGGTTGCGAATGAAAGCATCGTATTGTATGTGTGTGTGCAATGCTGAAAGCGTTATTGAATAAATGCAAAATTTCCTTCTCGTTACAATTTCTTTTTAATAACATGGCGAAACACGAGGAGCGCATTCTATTTCCAATGATGCGGCCGTCCTTCGTACAGAGTTTCGCAATGCTTAAGCTTCCACCAGAAATAAACCGCGGCTTGTTTTATGTAATCTTTAAATACTTTATTTATTGTGCAAAACATCGTACATTCGAAAATCAATTTCGGGGAAAAACCGTGCCAAGCGGTCACGCTCGTTGCACTCGGCTTTAATCAACATCAAAACATATCAAGGCGCTATTCCGGGGGCCTAATTTGTTTTGAAGCCGTTCTTGTGGGAGTTTTTTTCCGAATACAAATTGATGCAACAAGCATCGCCTCGGTAATTGCATTGCCAACACGCGCTCTATATTCTATTTAAAAATCCAGCCGTGCCACCACCACCACCACCATCAATCGCTCGTATTATTGTTGTTGCTGTTGTTCCCTGCATTGCCAGATTCTTGCCGCAATTCCCTTATTGCGCTAATTAACAGCAATTAATCGACATATGTGCCATGCCTTGCCTTGCTTGCAAACGGAACCGGAGAAGTAGTTTTCGCTGCGAGGTCGATTGCAACAAAGAGCCGTTGAATCACTTTTACTTCGTTGCATTATCCATGCAACTATAATTATTGCAACTGCTCAGAAATTTCTTGTTGAAAGTTACCATTTTAACATCAAACATTATTTATTACTTATTCAAAATGCAGCAATCAGAATTACAACATGCCACTCTCAAATATTGCGCACAATCCTCTATTAATACAATTATATTGAAAAAAGCGTTTGTTTGATTTTTCAAGGAAGTCAATGATAATAAAGAAGGCTCAACACAACACAACCCGACCTTCACCCAGATCGAGGCGTCGTTATGTGAGCATCCCGAGCGTCGCCGTAACAGCGACCCAAATAGTTCGGATCCTGTTGCTAAAATTATGGTTTACTTGAAAACTCGTTAGGCTCTCCGAGATAAAGGCGCGATTTATTATAATTGAAGAACGTCGCGATGGAAAACTGTGAAAACTTCGTCGCAGTTTCTCGCTCCCCACCAAAAACCGTATTTACTGCTTTGTTTAACATTTGGGACCTTGGAGAACACAACGGATTTGGTAGTGCTGTTATAATTAAGTGATTGTTAAAAACATAGAACGCAATCAAACAAGTTTCCTCTACAAACAATTCATCACATGCTTGTTTTCTCTTGTTGTTATTTTTTTTTCATCTTTGTGCTACGCATATTTTTGTCATAGCCTTATGTAAATGATGGGAACGCGTGTGAGCGTACTTCGCATATCCTACACGTGCACAAATTGCGCACTATAACTGCATCCGCGAAACAATAACAATAAACATATTTACTTGAAATGTTAAATTTATGATTGGAAATACTCATAGTACAAACCTTATCGTTCATATCTACCTTTTCACTATGCTTTTGATATAAATATTTCAAATACAAGATAGAATTATATTTTTTTAAATATTAATGTTTTTTTTTAAAGGTAATACATACTGTTTCCTATATTGTTTTGAATGGAAGAACAAAATAAATATAATAAACTAAAATAGTGTATATTTGGAAACTTAAACAGTTATTATTAGTAAAATGATTTCGAAAAATGATACTAATAAAATGTTTGTTTGTATTGAAATATTTATAAAAATTCTATTTGAAATTATTATTTTTTTTTGATGTTAATAAAAACATTTATAATGTAGAATATACTCTTTGTTAAAATAAATTATTGTTAATGTTAATAGACAGTGAATGGAAAATGGATATTGCGGTTGAATTGGGTTAAAAGTAGATTAAAACTACTGGAAATGTTAGTAAAGTTAGACTGTAGGTCAATGGAAAGGTAGTGAGTGCATAGACAGGTGATGATAACAGTTATAAACTAATTGCGCAACATGATTCATGAGTCACAGTGTGTTGAGGAGAACAAAGAGAATCCATCGTATGCCCTGCATAAAGTGCGCGTTCTCCTGGTCAACATAAAAATAAAAAAAACAACGAGAACACACAAAACAAAGTAGTATTGTGGTAAAGAGATAGCCTTACATAACAGCGGGCAGCGGCGAGGAATTGGCATTTGGTAATCCCGTGGGGATCAGCGAATCTAGTCCGTGTAGATCTAAATTTTCACCAGGCGAGAAGAGTCGTTTCGCAATGGAAATTTCATTCAAACTGTGGCAGGTTGGCGCGCGCGAACACTCTCAGCCGATCCAAGCACGAACTAAGCAGCCCGAGCGCGTTGTTGTTGCGATCAGCTGGAGTTGAAGGTGTTCTCCCAGCTGATCCGACAGTGGATAGAACCCCCCCGGACCCGACCCGACCCGTTCCGAACGACAACACGTTTTTCCCACACCGACGAAGACGACGACGACGACGACGTCGACTCTTGGATGCAAGAGGCGCGGCGTCGCGACGCCTTCAACGTTTGCGCTATTGATCCGGCAGTGCATCACAAAGATCGAAACTCTTCCTACCACCTACCTACCATGCCCATAATGAGAAAATTAATTTTGCATTTTAATTAAAGTTGCACCTGCACAACTTGGACATCGCCAAATAAATTAACAGTCGATTAGCAAAAATTATAATCTGATCGCGTTTTTGATCCAACATTTTAATGATATTATCAAAAAGTTATATACCTTATAAACAAAATTGTTTCAATAAGAATTCCAATATATCTTGTTGGAATTCATAAGTTTAATTCTGGACTGAACATATTAAAAGTGTTATAAATGATATGATACATTATTGAATACTGCAGATTCCCCTCTTTGGTAATAAAATATACAATAAAAATAAAAAATAAATGTAATGTTAATACTACAGGACTGTATTATTTATAATTCGTGTAATAAAATGAAATGTGGAAAATTATTATCATAATTAAAATATTTGCACTGACTAATTCATACTAGATATATCTGTATCAAGATTTAGATAAAACAGAAATAATGTTTGATCAAACAATGATACTGATATGTATTAGTTGAATTCGTGTTGTTAGAAATGATTCACGAAACTACTGTTTGGTCTTTATTCGCCTTCTGCGAATTGAGTGGAATGCAGCCAGACACAAGTTCAAACCTACGCAACGTCTTCTGCAAGGTTATAAAAACAATCGATGTGTTTACGGCAGAAGAGCAATGTGAATGTCCATCTCTTTACTTACGTAAATTGGAAATTTTTTTTTTGTTTGAAAATGCGACGTATCAATTGATGACGGTTTTTGACTCAGCTACATTTTCTGAAAATAGAACATCTTTTACTTTAAATAATAAATAAGCAATTAATATATAACTCGTTTCAAGTAAAACATCAATAAATAACATAACGTTTTGAATGATGAATGATTTGAATGAATGTTGAATACGGAAATTCCCAGTACTTAACAACAAAATATGTATTCTTGAATTATTTTTTTTTGACAAAAAGGACATAATTAAGATTAAAGCTGCGTTCATGGAGTGCATTTCACACCTGTTAATTGTGAGGATACGCATCTTCGTCTCTTGACTTCGGCGATGTTTGCGTGCACTGGAAATTTCGAACTGCGATGACGTTACTAACACAAATCACAAAACTTCAAATAATCGGCGTTTTTAACAAATTTAATATTTATTTAAACATATCAAGTTGTTTTGACAACATGTCAAATGTTTAAGAAGTGCATTGAGAATGTTTTGATAGAAGGAAGTTCTTTTCAAAATGTGTACAGTGAAAACTCCCTTAACGAGCAAACGTTATCAGAAAAATGACTCGCTTAACGAGCGACGTTTCGCTTAACGAATGACGATGAGAAGAGAAGTCCCAGCCTGCTACATCATTTTTAAAACTTGTGTACACATATTATGTGTATTTTTGACTATATACCAGAAAAAGTCCGGAAATTTTGGAACGGATTAAACTCATTAAGCGAGGTTCCACTGTATATAGTTATAATACTAAAAAATGAGTATATTTATACAAATATAGTTGGTTATAGTTATAGTTTCCTGAGAGCCCTAAAAGCAAGCCACCCTTGATTACATACAATTATATTATAAGTTAATTTAACATAATTTATTTGTATATGTATACAAACAAAACATCAATGTAGTGTACTCATATTAACATTGTAGTAGACCAATAAAAAGCAAAAATTTGAAGTTCTAATATAATGGAAATATGAACACTGGAGATGATAAACAAAAGTTATTGTAAAAGTCAAAAAGTAATGTTTTGACGAGCTTCCGGCCCGCGGGCCACTGGATGCTCATACCTAGTTTAATTGTATCAAATGTAATGGTATCGCCATCTCGTGATGCTAAATTATACTTTATATATATAAATACAATTCGTCGCATAGTGCGAATAATTAAAATTTAGTTTATTACGAAATTTGTAAATAGTTTTATAGTGCTGATATACAACAATATAAATAAATATAAAAAAATTAGGATAAGCAGGCGTTACATTTTATAGCCACGTTATGTTTTCATCATAGTGCTCTCCGCTACGCCAATTGGTGATTCAAGGACACCCAAAAATACACCATTTCTTACTAAATATTATTATAAGTCGTAATAATAATAATAATAAAAGAATAATGTAAATTCATTGTTATCAAGTACAGTTATTAAATTAACTCTACTTTCTTTTAGAAATAAAAGAGTGTATAGTAGATAAATGTATATAAGATTTTAACATGTACTATTAATAAATATAATAAAAGTGTATAGGTAAAATATGCCAACAAATAGGAAATAAAAAATGTCTACAGTTATTTGTATATATTATAAGAATGCGTGCTGTAACATAATTAAGAAAGTTATAGAAATATAATTACTAAAGTAATATTTCCAATATCATAAACTGCCAATAGATATTGTTGTTAATGTTTATAATTTTTTTTTTTTCGATAACATTATTATTTTTATCTCGAACACTTAATTAGTGTTTTTTTTATGTTTAACTGATAATTTTCCTTAGATGTCATGGAAATGTTTCTCTGTTTAATCTATTCATTTGCAGAAATGCATACGTTGGATTCAAAATATTTATGTAATTAAAATTAAAAGTTTGTGATAAAGCGGTGATAGCTTATTTTGAATAGTATTTATTGATATTATAATTTGGATTAAATACACGCAGCAAAACCAAAATCCCGTTACTTAAGTGTCTTAATCGATTTAAGTAAAGTAATCGTAATACACGTATCTACATCTATCGTCGGATTAGCGAATCTATTGATTTGGCTGAGTAATAAATAGGCGAGAGCTTGCGTACTCTGACTTGGCCACGAAATTATTTATCATCCGTTGCTTAGAGCGACGGCGTACTATTACAACAAAATCTTAATCTATATCTAAATAATACATCCATGGCTCTCCGTCACGTGGTAAACTTGTCCCTGTTTGGGGTCGCCTTCGCACAGTCTGTCCGCGGACACGCAACCATGGCCAGCAACTTTGTTTTCCGTCAGGTTAGTGAATTCATTCGTACGCGTATTTAAATCAAACAGATAAACAAATCCGATTTTACAGCTATTCGACACCAAAAGCAGCACGTACACTTATTTGCTGGGAGATGCTGAAAGCAAAGATGCTGTTCTCATAGATCCTGTAATTGAGCACGCAAAGAGAGACGCTCAGTTGGTAAAGGATTTAAATTTGAATCTGAAATTTGCCAGTAAGTCCATTTAATCTAATCGCAATTCACGCTAAAATCCAGTCACTAATTTTATTGTTGATATGCACTCGCATTTGTATGATCAATATCTTGATCAAATATTTACCTACCTGGGGACTCCATAAATTTGCTAATTAATGTCCCGTCAAACCTCATCACGTACACATTATGAACCTTGAATACCGAAAACATTTTGCGTTCGAAGATAACATATTATTACATAATTTTTTAAACACACTGCATTAGCATTAACGCTAATTCGCATACATTTCCTTGAACATGAAAATAGACAATATATTAATTAATAACATTTGGCGTAATTACCATCACTTACAATACATTTTAGAGGCGTACTATGATAACCATTTTTTTTTCCTACAAATTTGTTTTACAATTGTAATTGTATCTTATATTTCAGTCAATACTCATATGCATGCTGATCACATCACCGGAACAGGTGAACTCAAGAAATTAACAAACTGCAAGAGTGTTATTTCCAAGGCTAGTGGAGCCAAAGCCGACATCCACATCGACGAGAGCGATGTAATTGAGTTCGGCACTCATAAATTACGTGTGTTCTCAACTCCGGGCCATACAAACGGTTGCGTTACTTACTACATCCCGGAACAAGTGAGAACGGTGTCATTCACCTATGAAAACATAATAACAATATTATTATTATACTAGGGAATGGCCTTTACTGGAGATGCACTCTTGATCCGTGGTTGCGGCCGCACCGATTTCCAAGAAGGAAATTCCACTAATTTGTACGAGAACGTCCATGGAAAGATTTTCAGTTTGCCCGATGAAACCATTCTCTATCCAGCTCATGACTATAAGGGAATGATGAGTACAACTGTTGACGAAGAGAAACGTCTCAATCCGAGACTGACGAAAAGCCTTTCCGAATTCGTCGAAATCATGGAAAATCTTAATCTTGCCTACCCGAAAATGATCGGTAATATTAATTGATTGATTGCAAAACGATTCTTTTCTATGGTATATATTTTATTTTTCAGATAAAGCTTTGCCAGCAAACAAAGCTTGTGGACTCTACGATTTGCCAGAGGAATACCAAACATAAATCAAGTATTAATCATAACAAAAATATACACATAAACATTTAACACTGTTAGAAGAACAAATATTAGATTTCATGTTGTTAATATATATCTGATTACTTCTTTATTTTACTCCAATTTCAAATAACGATAATTTTAATTAATGTTTCATTGATTTTCTCGAAAACTATAATAGATAGAATGAATCCAAAAGATGCATATGAAAGCTGAATGTTTGGGGAATCTAGTATTTATATATTACTGTGGTTTTATCCGTTTGGCTGTCATTCGCATTCAAAGTTGAAAAAACGCTGGAAAAAGGAGTGTTTTCACATTTCAACGAAATTCTCGAAAAATATAATAGACAGAATGAATCTAAAATATGCATATAAAAGCTGAATGTTTGGGGAATGTAGCAAGTATTCATATATTACTGTGGTTTTATCCGTTTTGCTGTAATTTGCATTCAAAATTGTAAAAACGTTCGAAAAAGGAGTGTTTTCACATTTCAACGATTTTCTCGAAAACTATAATAGACAGAATTAATCCAAAAGATGCGTATGAAAGCTGAATGTTTGGGGAATATAGCAAGTATTCATATATTACTGTTGTTTTATCCGTTTGGCTGTAATTCGCATTCAAATTTGAAAAAACGCTCGAAAATGGAGTGTTTTCACATTTCATTGATTTTCTCGAAAACTATAAAAGATAGAATAAATCCAAAAGATGCGTATGGAAGCTGAATGTATGGGGAATGTAGCAAGTATTCATATATTACTGTGGTAAAAAGGAGTGTTTTCACATTTCAACGAAATTCTCGAAAACTATAATAGACAGAATGAATCTAAAATATGCATATAAAAGCTGAATGTTTGGGGAATGTAGCAAGTATTCATATATTACTGTGGTTTTATCCGTTTTGATGTAATTCGCTTTCAAAGTAGAAAAAAACGCTCGAAAAAGCAGTGTTTTCACATTTCATCGATTTTCTCGAAAACTATAATAGACAGAATTAATACAAAAGATGCATATGAAAGCTGAATGTTTGGGGAATGTAGCAAGTATTCATATATTACTGTGGTTTTATCCGTTTTTATGTAATTCGCTTTCAAAGTTGAAAAAACGCTCGAAAAAGCAGTATTTTCACATTTCATCGATTTTCTCGAAAACTATAAAAGATAGAATGAATCCAAAATATGCGTATGAAAGCTGAATGTTTGGTGAATGTAACAAGTATCGATATATTACTGTGCTCTTATCGATATTGGCAACAAATAATATTATCTTTTGTTTTTTTTTTCGAATTATATTGATAGAAATGTTTCTTCTATAAAATATTATATTATCTTTTTGGACAATCGAATGTATATATGTGTACTTTTTGTTTATTCAATATATAATAGTTATTATTATCGTTCGTTTTATTTAGTTATTACTAAATAAGGAAATTAACGTTTTTATATTGTGTTTATATATTTTTATTATATTGGCAGTACTTTTAAAATTTGACAGTTAGCAAGCATTGCTGTAACGAAAAAAACGAGCTAAAGAAAATAATACCGTATTTAGCACGTAGTATTCAATATATCAATTAAAGTAGATTGTGATTGAAGGTGTACATTCTTCAGAACGAATCCAAGTAAGACTCGTTTACATGTTATGACTATAATACTTCTATATACTCTTTTGAAATTGTTATAATTACTTTTAACATAACCCTTCTTATTGTTATAGCCCTTATAAGCCTTTCACCTGAAAATGAATAACTTACTGATTCCTCCTTCACCAAATTGGTATGAACCAAATATTATGGCTTGTACCAAAGACAATACTGTTTGTTATGCAAGTATGGACAATTTAATTATAATTAAGAATAAACAGAACATAAATGAACCTGCTAAGATTAAAATAATTTCACACGCTCACATAGAAAGGTAATATAAATATTAATGTTCTAGTGAATATAAATAACATAAAAATGTTTTTAGAATTTTTGCAGTAACTGCAAATCCAAATTGGGCAGACCCTGATAAACTGATATTAAGTAGTGGTAGTGACAAATTGGTTAAATTATGGGATGGAGATACTTACAAGAGAGTTGCTAAACTCAATACGCATACAGTAAGTTTGTCTTATTTAGAATAAGATAAATTGATTATATTTTACTATTATTTTAGACAACAGATGCTAAATTAGTTGGGGCTACATTTGCTGGAAAGGATAAAGTAGTCAGTGTATCTGAAGATGGCTTTATAACTATATGGAGATTTCGAAGCAATGAAAAAAATGTTTTAAAGAACATGTTTGGATCTAAAGTACATGTAACAGCAATATCTTCTTGTCCCCATGCTCCTTGGCTCGCAGCATTTGGCTTTAAAAGTGGGATGATTGTGATTGCTGACATGAGAAGTAAGGATCTAATCAATTTATGTTTATGTTAATATTAACTTGATTTTAACTATTCACAGAAGAAGGAACTGTAAAATATAAATTAAGAGGACACGACCGCGCGATTTTATCTTTATCTTGGTGTCCAGCACCATTAAATTTCTTCCCAAAAACAAAACCAAGATCAATTAAAGTCGCTGCAGACAAAGTTGAGGAAAAAGTTGATAATGTGAAAGTAGATAAAGATCCCGTTGCAGAACCAAAACCATGTACATCAACGGATGATTTAAAATCAGCGGAAAAAACGGAGAGAACTTTTTACAAACCCAAAAAGAACAATCCTTGGGTTAATTTGAAACACGCCGATGATGATGAAATTGAGCCAGAGGAAGTTCCTGAAGTCACGAAGGAAAGTGGCGATTTCTTAGCAGATTGCTTGGCTCTACAGCAAAAGATTATATCTACGAAAGATACTGAAATAGAAGAATCTGAGGAGGCGGAAGAGGAAAAGAAGGAAACAAACAAAGAACGTAAGATTATTAAGGCAAAAAAGACCTTACCACAAAAGGAGTTTGATAATGACATCAAAACTGATGAAGATAAGTTACAAAAACGAGAAAATTTTAAAAGCGATGACCAAAAACTGAAAGACAAACATATTGAAACTGACGAAGATAAACTTAGCCACATGATAGAGAATGTTGATATCAATGAAGAATATACAAAAGAATTCCTGCTAGCATCTTCAGCAAGAGGAGGGTAAGTATCCATAATTTATAATTTATTATCATATTCATAATGTATTTATTTCCAGACCTATATTTATATGGAGAGCAGGAACTGATGGAAGAATGCAATTGAAATTAGCAACAAATGCTAAAAAACAACAAAATTATAGAAGATACAGTAACCAAAATGATAAGAACTTTGTTACCTTAAACTGGATTGCTCCTAAGATTTTGTTATCATCTGGTATAACTGGTGAATTATATAAATGGGATTTAATGGGTGATGGACTACCGAAAGTTGTTCATAATAATCACCCACAACAGCTTTTCTGCATTGCTGCTCCAGTGCAGATCTATAATGAAGTGGAAACGACTAACGAGTTAGGCGCTTGGACAACGGGAATAGATAGAATGTTGTTCTACACTAATATTAACCATAAACAAGATACCATAAAATGCTATCCCACGCTTGGAAATTCTGTTTTAGCTATGTCGTTATCTCCTTTGGATCCAAATCGGTAATTTCTGAAGATATTCTTAATTTACTTAGCTACATATTATATTTTGCAGATTGGCTTTGACTCTGGCAGATGGTACTATACGAATTTGGGATCTCAGCAAACCACATATACAGTACATAGATATGATTCAAATTAAATTTAAAAATAACGTGAAAATTATGTCTCTTGCATGGCATCCTACTCAAGATTCAATTTTAGCCTTTGGAACAGAGGAAGGAAGAGTAAGTTTTTCAACATAATATGAAATATGATTTACTTGTTTTTTTTTTCTTCATAGGTTGCATTTATTAATACGATAAATTTAACTAAACCTCCTACGCTATTACCACGTTATTTTAGACAACCGATTCAATGTTTAGAATTTGGACCGCATAATGGAGATATGGGTTTATATGTGTGTTCTGAAGGAAAAGTGGGTATTTATGAAACAGAAAAACCGCTTAATGGTAAATAGTATTACTCGATTGTAAGACAATATGTACATTGTATATATATTTCTAGATCCGAATCTTCTTGAGTTTACTTCTATTGCGAACGCATACGTAACTCAATTTGCATGGAAACCAGACTATTCTCTTTTGGCGATTGGTTTAAAAAGCGGAGTTATAATGATTTATACTGCAGAACTGAAATTTATACGATCCATTTATTACCATCAAAAGGCAATTGAAACGTTTGCCTGGCATCCACAGGCTACTATGGAAGATGAAGAAACATCTCCTAATGCTACTTGGTTAGCTTCAACAACTACAACTGATACTAATGTTGTTATATATAAATTAGATGATGTTACTAAAGGTAACTTTTTAAAATTACTTACATTATAACTTAAACTAATTTATTTTTTGTTTAGACGATTTTGATGTATCGAAATCAATAGTTGCCGAATTGTCTGGTCATTTAAAATTTGTTCGAAAGATATTCTGGAGTCCACACGAAAATGGACGCCTGTGTACCGTATCTGATGATGGCACAGCACGTATTTGGAATGCGAATTCACCTAATTCTACATCTGTTTTTATGAACGTTAACGCAGAATCTATTAATGCAGGTGTTTGGAGTCCATTAGATAAGAAATACATTATTTCGAGTGGTAAAGAAAGTTCAATCATTATATGGAATATCGATGAACATGGTCCTAAATCTATAGAAGGTGAAAACATAATTATTCATTTTATGAACCAACATTAAATATTTTTTTTTATAGAAATTCATATACAGAGAAACAAACGGAAAATTTTGATACAAAATATTGTGAATCAAACTCGCAATGCAAACCCGAAGAGCAAGGAAATTGTCTGTATAGATGATAAGAAAAAAGTAACAAGGGATGTAGCAATCTCTTTGGTTTCCAAAAGTCAGAGGGATATCGATGATATACTTAAAGATTGTCGTAACTTAATTGCTCACAGAGAAAACCCTGATAGCAACGAAAAAAGTTCAGTGTTAAAATTGTTTGGAACACCTGAAAATTTGTCAGAGCTTTTACATGAACAGAGTAGGTAGAATCATAATTTTGTTACAACTATTACTTATATTTATATTTGCATTTAGTGAACGAAAATCTAGCCAAACATAAATATACTGGGTTTGTAAATGTCGCATTGTATAATGGAAATATAGGCGACGCGATAAAGGAGGCGATGCAGAAGGATCAACTGAATCCTTGGCTAATCAGTTTAGCTCCGATGGTTTCTCCAAAGTAGTTATATTACATTATGATATTACTTAATGAATTTAATTGTACTTTGTTACTCAGGTTATGGCAAGATGCTTGTTTGGCATATGCGCAGAAACTATCCGATTCTGCAAAAGCAGATCCACTTGAAGCTGCCTCGTACTTTTTGGCTTGTCACGAAATCGAAAAGGCTATCGATGTTATGTGCGTTGGTGGATTTTATCGGGAGGCTTTGGTGCTGGCAAAGAGTCGAATGCCAACAAACACTAAACTTGCCGATGACATAATGGGCAAATGGTCTACTTTCTGCCTCTATAACGGTAGATTCGATGTTGCAGCTCAAATGTAATTACTTACCTTTATGAATTTATGAACAAACATAATATAGATTTTACTATTTTCAGCTTTGTGGCTATGGATAAATATGAGGAGGCCGCAAAGATGCTGTACAAAAGATCCGACGTACAATCGTTGGAATTCGCAGCGGAATTGGCTGAAAAGTCGGAAAATAACGATCTATTAGCTTCCATCACTTTCAGGCTAAACAGTTTCAAAGATCATGCACATAAAGAGTTGATTGAAAAAACTGAGGCACTTGCAGTGGACGATGAAAATAAGGAGAATATCGCTAATTCGGATATTCAAAGTAATGAAAGTACTGTAACCAATGATGAAGAAAATTGAAATTTCTTTTCTTAAGAAAATATATATCAGACAGGTGCTGACTATTATATAGACTGATTTTGTTATTCTCTTGTTTATACTAATTACTTTTCGTTTATTTTATTGTTTAGAATACTACTTTATTTAAATATTAATAAATCAATATTTAGTTATTTTTTAAACAGACAAACAGATTTTTAATTTAATCTTCTATTTCTACAACAAGAAAACTGTATTCATGATCTTCTCATTAAATTATCCTCGAAATAAAACCATTTAAAATTCCGAAAGTCTTTCCTTCTCGATTGGTAAGATTTCCTGAGCATATCATATCAGTTCCACAGAGTTCATTTATATTGTTAAGTGACAATTTAATAATTTTTCTATTTTATGAAAGTGAATAGACTTTCATTATTTTAACATTTGTTGATCAAGAGTTTGTTGCGATTTTCAATTGTTCTTGCATTTATAATTCGGAAAACATTAATTAATTAGTACTAACATATTTCTTAAAGTTATTTAATTTTCTTTTAATTGAACTAAAGGTATAAGCAAACGAAACCGAAAACGTACGAATAAAGTACATTTTGCTTTGATTAGATTTACGAGAAAATACGAAGCAAACTTCATTGCGATTTATCGAATTGGCGAAATATTCAAACACGAAAACAAGTAAGTCAAGTGTTTTATTTGAAACATTTTCAAATCATGGCTTCCCCAAATTCCTTATACGAGAGTGCCTACAACGGAGATTTCGATTTAATTAAGACACAAGTAGATGACAATAAGTCTCTTATTAAACAGAACGACGAGGTAAATAAATATATAACCTAAAACATGCACAGTCATTTAAACTTTGTGAAACTTTTGCGATTTGTTTTTAGAATGGAAGAAGCTTATTGCACTGGGCTGCAATTAGTGGTAATTTAAAATTGGTGACCTATCTAACTGAGATGGGCTCAGAAATTGATGCCTGTGAAGACACAGATGCAACCCCTTTAGTATTGGCCTCTTCAGCAGGAAGATTCGAGGTCTGCACTTTTTTAATAAAACAGAAGGCTGATGTGAATCACAGGACAAGCCAAGGTCATTCAGCACTGCAATATGCTGCATCTAAGAATTGGCTGAATGTATGATCAATTACTAACAATAATTATGTTCTTAAAACGTTTCTTTTTGTAGATTTGCATATTGCTCATAGAAAATAACGCAGATGTGAACATTGTTGATATTAGAGGAGCAACTGCGCTGCACAGGGCTGCTTCTAAAGGAAATTTGGATGTTGTCAAGTATCTGTTGTCTATTGACAATATTAATTTGAATTGCAAGGATTCCTATGGGAATACCCCATTGCATTTAGCATGTGAAGAGGACAGACAGGAAGAAGCAAAGTTGTTGGTGCAACGTGGAGCTAGAACAGACATGCAAAATAGGGATAAAAGTACAGCTTTGGATTTGTGTTCCATTGGCTTGCGTAGGGCTTTGACCACAAACAATTGATTACATTGTATTAACTGGATCACATTTTAAACTAAACAGTTGTAATCAACTTTAAATATTACTATTAAATTATTATAATATTAAATTATATTTAATAAATATAATCTACCTGTAATTATTTATACAAAACCAACTAGCCACAGCAAGACTTTTGAAGAGCCACAGTTTGGCCACCCCTGATTTCACAATAGTTTACAGTTAAATTGTTTGCTTTAATATAAACATTTGGAAAACGGATTCAGTTTGTAAAATTTTTCAAAAATGCCGCGTCAGAAAATTTAAAATAATTGAACGCACTCTGTGGGCGAGTTCAATGAACCATAATAGCAGAGTTCATTAACAAGTATACAGCAGTTCCACAACACACGAAAATATTGTGCGTCAAATGTGTGTTTATGTGTGTGAGTTTTGTATACATGTAACGAAATTACATGGATGTGTGAAACATGTCCTTGCAAAAGTGATTATTTAAGCTATTGAAAAATATCTAGGAAGCATTCCGCTCGCCGCGACTGCTTTCCTCGTACATCCTGCAGGATAATTACGATGTGCAAATAGACGTGAGTCCGCGAAAGAAGGAATATTGCGTGTACAACAAGAAGGAGAAAGAAACGACGTAGTAGAATCCAAACATCAAAACACGATCACGCGGATCCAAGTTTATATCGAATTTTCTGCAAATCTGAATAAAACCAGAAGGTAACTCAGAACATGCTTCATTGCAACATATATATACATATTTCGATGTACACGTATTTATATATATATAAATATCAGCATGTATATATATATATACGTATTATTGTTTTCGAAATCTGCGTATTGCATTTGTTTTGCACCTAATAACATAACCTCTAAATGGTAAACAGTTGTTATGTCATTTACGGATTTCCTCCGCGTTCTTTTTTTTTTCTTCTATTATTATTTACACAAGCCGCCTAAGTGGGGAAACAGCTAATCATAAACAACTTCCTGTTAATCATTTGGAATTTAGCTTCTCCGTCGAAGTGCTGTACCATTTCACCACGATTTCTTTATTTCACGATTAAATAAAATGCCAGCAGTAATGAAAAAGTAGAAATAAAAACAAATTCCTTCCCACCCCACTCCCACTCGCATCAATAAAAACATAGATAACGCGCATTTTGTCTAATTGCAAAAATTTTATGCAACCTAATCTATTTTCAAACGCAATTGAAACCTTAAAAACATGTTGCTGCCATCAGTGGCCCACTTTGAATTTCACTGATCACATTGATTAACATGAAATCACTACATAATCTTTCTGTGTGATATAGATTTCGTAAAAAGCATTTAAAATGAATGATTTTTCTGCTTGCCAACCAATGATGGGCAGTCCAATGGGCCCAAAAGATCTGCAATCGAATGTGGTGAAAGAGGGATGGCTTTTTAAGAGAGGAGAACACATAAAAAATTGGCGTCGGAGGTATAATTTTCCTGTAAACTAAAAAAAAATTGGTGATTTATTTATTAATTTTTCTAGATTCTTCTATTTGTTGAACAATGGCAGCTTAATTGGATTCAAAGTAAAGCCTGACGTTCATACAATGACTGAACCACTTAACAATTTCACTGTCAAAGATTGCCAAATTATGTCAGTGGACAGACCTAAGCCATATACATTTATTATCAGAGGCCTACAGTGGACGACAGTTATTGAGAGGATGTTTCATGTTGAAACTGAAAAGGAGAGAGAGGAGTGGGTTTTGGCCATTAAAATGGTGTCTGAGGGAATTTCAAATGAATGTGAAGACGTTGATATGAATGGAGAGATGAACAGTGATCTGCCCCTAAAGTTTTCATTGCAGGGTACGTCAATTTCAAAATCGTCTGGTAAAAAGAAGGTGACATTGGAGAGTTTTGAGTTTCTTAAAGTTCTTGGTAAAGGGACCTTTGGCAAGGTTATTCTGTGTAGGGAGAAGTCAACGGGTAGACTATATGCCATTAAGATATTAAAAAAGGAGGTTATTATACAGAAGGACGAAGTGGCGCATACGCAAACAGAGAATCGCGTGTTGAAAACCACGAATCATCCGTTCCTGACCGTAAGACTTCAATCATTGTTACTTATTTAACTTCTTATTCTCTAATCACGTCTAATGATTTTAGTCACTGAAGTACTCATTTCAAACGAACGATCGATTATGTTTCGTTATGGAGTACGTTAATGGCGGCGAACTGTTCTTCCACTTATCCAGACTCCGCGTCTTCAACGAAGACAGAACACGTTTCTATGGAGCTGAAATAATCTCAGCCTTGGCCTATTTACACTCGCAAGGAATTATTTATAGAGATTTGAAACTCGAGAATTTGCTACTTGACAAAGATGGTCACATTAAAATTACAGATTTCGGACTTTGCAAAGAGGACATTGCTTATGGTAGCACCACAAAAACCTTCTGTGGCACACCAGAATATTTAGCTCCAGAAGTACTTGAAGATAGTGACTATGGAAGAGCAGTAGACTGGTGGGGTATTGGTGTTGTTATGTATGAAATGGTAAGTTTTTTTATTTATACAGTTTTCATTTAAAAGTGAGTAAAAAAAAAATTATAATCATAATTAATTTTGGAAGTAATTCTGATTCTAATTGGAAAATAGTTTATCGAAATTTAAAAGATTTGTTTTTAGATGTGTGGCAGATTGCCTTTCTATAACAAAGACCATGATGTTTTATTTACTCTGATTATTGTTGAAGAAGTCAAGTTTCCTAAAACGTTAAGCAATGATGCCAAAGATTTGCTTGCCGGACTACTTATTAAAGATCCAGTAAAGAGATTGGGTGGAGGTCCTGACGACGCCAAACAAATTATGACACATCCGTTTTTCAGTTCGATTAACTGGCGAGATTTAGAACAAAAGAAGGTGAACATATTATATAATTGTCCAGGGATTATATTTCAATATTAGTTGTTCTCCTCTAGATCCCACCACCTTTTAAACCACATGTAACCAGCGAAACTGATACCAGGTATTTCGACTCCGAATTCACCGGAGAAAGCGTCGAGTTGACACCACCCGATAATATGGCACCGTTGAATGCTATACAAGAAGAACCTTACTTCCCTCAGTTCAGTTTCCAAGACACTCTGTCTTCCACGTTAGGCAGCTCGGCTCACATCAGCGGCAGTATGAACAGCATCGCTTCTATGCATCAGTGACTACATTAAAGCTATGTAAGAATACAATTTACAACATAAAAATGTATATATTATTAAATTAATAATTCTTTTTTTTTCCTGTACAGGTTTATGTACTTATGATGTAGAAGTTAAATTAACTATAATTTATCTCTGAATATCGAAAGAAAAAATACGTTGTTTCTATTGAAGGTGTGAGATTGTGATATTTTATAAAAACGCGCCGTGTAAATAGTTGTATCCCAAAAAAGAAAAAAAGAAAGAAAAAGTAATCCTTTCAGTCCTCATTGTTTTGTACATATGTACAAGAATTTCTGTGCTGCTATTATGTTATAATTTGAAATGATTAAGAAATCGCGTGTGATTTATTATAATTTTATTTTTTAAATTTAATAATAAGAATGTAATATCTATTTACGTGAAGCTTTTGGATCACGCAACTTAGAGCATTTATTGATAATAATAATAACTAACTAACTAACTTTAAGTCACTGCCCGTTGTCCGAAAGCTTTGCCGATCATTTTACCTTTCATTTTAAATCATATTTTTTTTTATTATTATTGGAATGTTTCGGTCGTAAGATTATGTAAATTGTAAATAATTTTTTGTTTTAAATAATTTTCGCATGACTTCAAAGTCGATCTCTTTATAAGTTGTTGTTTTTTTTTTTCTCTTTCACTCTCGTTCCAACAAATTTGTTTTGGGGTGTAAATGTTTATGATGATTATTATTATCTTTTTCTTCTGTTTATTAATAAGTGATTTGGTCCAATTGTAACTATTTTAATTGTATTTACAAATTATTGTTTTATTTGTATTATTATATATTTCTTTTTTTCTTTTTAATTCAAGCACAATTAATTTGTATCAGCTTTTTATATTCGTTATATTCTTATTTTAATTTTTTTTTTATTACTTTTAATTGCCGGGTATTAGTTTTTAGAATGATTAAAATAAAGATATATTTTTCCTTCATTTTTTTTTTGAGATGTTTTAAACGACTAAAGAATGTATACGAAAAGTGTCTAAAAATTTCAGTGTTTTGGATATTTAGATTGATAGCATTTATTAATTTACATCGATTCGTTGTTGTTTTTTTGTTTTGTTTTTAGGTGGATCGAAATTTTTATGAGAATACCGAGCGTTTTGGAGTTTGTACACGCTTTTAAACTTTTAATATTATTCATCGATTGATTCTTATTTCCGTGTATCAAACGTAAAACTTGTAGTTATTTAATAATATTTATTTGTTTTGCTTGTTAAAGTAATCGTAATATTAAGTTAAAAAAGGTAATAAATAATAATACAGAAATTATCCAATATCAAGAAGTTTATTCCAAAAAGCATCTAATCTAGTTGTGCCTTGTTTTTCCCCTCACAACAAGAAAACAAATTTTGTTTCATAAAGTAGCGCAATGTTCGCAGTTGTTCATAGTTTTAAAATTGCCGCCACGATTTTGACACCCATCACAATTGTTTTATTGCGAACGATTTGCTATGTGTCATCTGTTCACATCGAAAGCAGTCTTTGTTTTCCTGTGGAAACGTACTTAAAAATAGAAGGTATTAGATTTGAACTTATCAAAAGTGCCGTGAAATAGCTTTAATAATAGTTTGTGTAGTGTGCATTAATGTTTAGCACTTATTATTTTGTAGAAAAAGATATATTGAACCTGAGATAGAGCAGGAAGCAATAAAAAAAACATTAAGGTAAACCGAATTATCGTTTGTTTTGTGTATACAAGATACATAGAAAGTGCATTTAAATAATAGATAGATTAAGTAAAACATGTTTATTTGAATGTATATTAAATACTATTTTTAGATGCCTATACTATTCAGTGTGATTTCTCGAGGAAACATTATTTTGGCAAAGTATGCAAATTGTGCTGGGAACTTTACGGAAGTAACAGAGCAAATTATAGAAAAGATTCCGAAGCAAGATGAGAAACTGACATATTCGCATGGAAATTACTTGTTTCATTATGTTTCTGAAAGTGGAATTGTTTACATGTGCATTACAGATGATGTAAGTACTTTTTTTTGTTAAGTTAATTCGTTTATCTTGATTCCTTTAAATTCATATATACATTTATAGGAATTCGAAAGATCCAGAGCATTCCTCTTTTTGAATGAAATAAAGAGGAGGTTTACATCTTCCTATGGATACTCGATTGAAAATGCTATAGCTTACGCTATGAATGCAGAATTCTCTCGAATACTTGCAAATGAGATGAAACATTATTCAGAGTCTCATGACATTGACACTATTTCGAAAGTGCATGGCGAACTGGACGAACTTAAAGACATAATGGTCAAAAACATAGGTATCAAAAATTAAATCTTTAATTCTAAACACAAGAAGTTAATTTTCATTTTTTTTTAAAGACAATGTTGCTATGAGAGGCGAGAGATTGGAATTGCTCGTCAATAAGGCAGAAAATTTAAGTAACAATGTGAGTATTGTTATTCATAAAAATGAATTATATTTTTTTCTAATATGGAATTGTTTATTTTCTTAGGCTGTGACTTTTCGGAGCAAAAGCCGAAACTTGGCACGAGCAATGTTTTGGAAGAACGTGAAAATGTACGTGGTGATTGGAACTGTGGCCATTGTCATTATATACTTGATAATCTCGATGGCTTGCGGTGGATTGGCATGGCAAAGTTGCGTAGCCAAGTAAACACTACATCAATACTATAAGAACTAATCAAAAAAAATAATCAATAATTAGATTGTGATATAATTTATATTTACGAGGTACGCTTGCTATTCATTATTATTAGGCTTCATTCTGAAGAATATACGTTTAAGATGACAAATATTGATTTTAATAAATTATACACATTTTTTTTTATAAATCAAATGAAGTTTCAAATCCGTGAAGTAATCGTAGAGGCGTATTTCTAGCATTAGCTAATGCATTATTTTATCTCTTGATTTTTTTTTACAATTAATTAACCTGTACATATTAGCTAAGTTGTATATAATAATTAATACATAAATAATATTTTTTAAATTAGTTATCCCTTAAAATAATTATTTAAAATACTATTTTATAATCTATGTATGTTTATGAATTATTCAATAAATTTATATTATTTCAATAAGAAATCTCTACTATTTATGGACATAAAGGCTTCGAATCAACGTTGAATATCTAGTCTATATTTAAATAGAATCATTCAAGGTTATTCGGTCGATATGTACATGTAGCTTATTAAAGTATGAATAAACAACACTGAATATGATTCACGTCTTTACAAGGGAAAAAAATACGCAAAATTGAACAACAAATATAATGTCTATTTAATATAAAATTACTTTTTTTTATTCTGTTAATTTATATAAGCTCGATCCAAAAATACACATTTTTAATTAGGTTTAAGCAAAGAAAATTTGCAAATATTAAAAGAAACATGTTAGCTGAAAAATCATATGATGAAGTGTTGAATTAAAGTAAATATTGTTGTTGACAAGTATGTTTAATTTATGGAATGCACGTAGTTTATGATTTAAATTGTTTAAGTACATTAGGTGTGTATTGACTTTATTTATACCATCATAAAAATAAATTAATAGTAAATTCAAAATAAACATTTTGAATTTATTATTATTATTATACACTATAAAATAAACTTATTATTAAAATTATTATTTTTTTTAATAATAATATATTTATATTAAAAATAATGGTTATAAATTGATCTTTAAATATATGGTAACTGAGTTAAAAACCATTTCGTATATATACATACAAGTTTTTTTCTAAAATTTTCAGTCATTTTTAGTTTAATTCAATTCAACATATCTACGATTTTCTGTTCTGCCAATGAAATAATAACTTTAGTAATACTTGTCTTGGCGCAATTTAAACATTCCTATTGTTGAAACATGCGCGAACAAAGTGCTTTTTCCGTCTCCAGGTAACATTGTTTCAACTTTTTGGCTAACAGCATGTCCTTTTGTATAAGAGGATCGTCCGGATGGTACTGTTTGGCCTTTTCAAAATCCTCTATGGATTTATCGTAATCTCTCAATTTCAATGCAGCTTGTCCTCTACGATAATATGCCTTTCCATAATCTGGATCTATTTCGATGACCTGAAAATGAATAGAAATTGTAGAGATGATTCCAATGAATTCGTAAATCAATTTCAAGAACCTGCGAACACAAATCAAATGCATCTTTGTATTTCATCTTTTTCAATCGAACTGAAGCTAAATTGAAGAGCGTTTGAGACTTCAATTTCGTTTGTACTTTGGTATCGTGCTTCAGCTTTTTCTTATTCGTCCATTCGATGTATCGTAATACTTTTTTGTACTTTCTGTCGGAATCGACGTAATTGCTCTTCTTGTAATAAAGATTCCCTGAATTCTTTATATCGGTTACCACGATGTCCATGTCGTGGTCATTGATGTCATCCATGTCATCGGGATACGGTGGGTATACATCCAGAGTTCCGTCGTTCTCGTTTATTTGATAATCTTCTCCAGGCTTAATCTCTCCGCAATCTTCAATAATGCAAGGCTTTATCCCAATAATGAAATGATTAATAATAATTACATACATGTGTATTTGATCAACTTACGACTAATGGCACGTCTCCATCCCTGGGCAACTCTGCTATTTCTAAAACTATATTAAATCCTTTCTTGACGTAGCCAAATGCTACGTTACTGTTATCCAAATGAGTGCAAGGTGCCAATGTTATGTAGAATTGAGTCGCGTTTGAATTCTTCCCTTTATTTGCCATCCCCACAGTACCCACTTTATCGTGCTGAACAAATAAATGCAATGTTTTATTTTCCAAGTCCATAAATTTGCACACAATTAGTTTACCTTTATTACAAAATTTTCATCGTCAAAGGGACCTCCGTAAATACTATCATCAATAAGTGTTCCATCCCTCGAAATATCCCCACTTTGGACCAAGAACTGTGGAATTACTGAAGAACGTAAAGAAATTAGTCACAAGAAATTCAGTTACGATTAAAATTTATTAAAACCACATCCATATAAATATTATTGAAACACTAACATGCAACGCCCATTATTAATTAATACACTTAAGTTTTCTCATCATCACCCTTCCCCTCGTCTTTGCTATTATGAACCTTTTTAGCGGATTTGCAATCAACATCTGAACTAGGAGGTTTCTTGAAGCATCTGGCCCACGAATTTAGCCATTTATATCGGAAGGTCGTTACTTGCTTCTGCTTTACTTTATTATCCTGATCAGAATTTCCGTCACCATCACCGTCTTTGCTGCATTCGAATTTTTCCGAAGAACCAACTAACGTGCTGTGCGATTTATGATCTGACATTTGAGAATGTGTTTTATCCATTGAGGACGTTCCAGTAGCAGGCTGACATTGACGCTTTTTCTGCTTATGTTTGCCACCACTAACAGATGTACTGCTATGCCGAATAGTCGAATTAGAATCGTCGAAATCCACTTTACCATCCTGCCCTGCTTCGTTGCACTCGCAGGTGTCCTCTTCGGAAACTGGAAAATCGCAATTACTCAGTGTCTCCTTCATGCAATCCTCCACGCATGTGTTGTTATTGTATTGTGTATTGTATGGGCATGGTTGTTGATTATTTTCTTGTGATTTATATTCGTCAATTTGTTGTTGTTGTTGTTCATCATCCGATGGTTTGCTCTTTGAAATATCAGATTTTTGAGAATTTCTAGATGTTGTCGGCGATGGTGTTGGAGAAATCGCAGTGTCGCGTTGTTTGCTTTCGTTTTGGTTGCACTTGCAACACGGCGATCTTGTTTCCTCCGGTTCAGAATCGTAGTTCCTGTAGTCACGTTCAGTTTGGGTTCCATAGTTATTGATGTCTCGAGAATGGTGCTTGGTTGGCGAAGAACATGGTGTTGCAGTCGGCGATTTTCTTTTCCTCGTTTCTGGAAAATCTCCGTTTAGAGAATCTCTAAAAGTTCCACGAGGTAACAGGTATTTTGAACGGTCGAATGATGGACATTTCTCATTGCACGAATCATAATATTCAGTGTCGGTGTTGAATGGATTGTGGTTCTTGTAAATGGTCAATGTGTTTGTTGCTGAATGAGTAGCACAACAGTCCTCATAGGTATCAGTTACCGTTACCTGTTGCGAGACATATGGACACATTACTGGGAATCGTTGAATTATGCAATAACTACCTGATGTGGAGCCATTGGATCCATTCGTATCTTTCACTGGGACATCATCGCAACCGCATTTCGACAGATCCTCTTTATCGCAACAACATTTCGGCGGCGGGCATCGTCTTGGTGATTTGCTTCTGCAGCAGGGCGGACCCATCGGTGGGCAACACTTTGGCTTGCAACAGCACGATTTCTTTGATTTCTTCGGTGGTTTGCAGCAGCAAGGCGGTGGTCTGCAGGGTGCACAGCAGGGTGTACAGCAAGGTGGACAGCAAGGCGGACAACACCGTGGCACGCAGGGATTGCATTTTGGTGCACATGGGTTGCATCGTGGTGGGTTGCACGGTGAGCAGAGTTCGCAAGGTGGACAAGGATCACAACGTGGCAATGGTGGACAGTTTATCCATCGTACCATTTCCTGGCATTTCTGTTCAACCTTTGAGGGTGTATCCAAGAACTCAACCTGCCATCCGACTGGCGTGGGGCACGGACAATCTGGAGACTCTGTTACCCATGCCAGACCGAATCGGCCCTTCACTTTCGGACTCGTATCGCAAATGAAACACCCATTGCAATCTATCATCAAATCGTCCGCTGGGCAGCAACAAGACATGTTTATTTCGATTCACGAAACGATACCTTTTGGTGATGCCTATGTGTTCTTAGCACAAGAATTTTTTCATTTTTAGTTTAGTAAATGACAGAATGTAGTAAATATTTGTTTTCCATGGCTTCCCAGAAGTTGATTCATAACATCCAACAACAACAACAACAACAATTATAATTGCCATGGATAATTTAAAATATATTGGGTGAAGTAAAAAGTTTTGAGAATTTTTCTCTTTATTCAGACGATGAAATTAACAAAGTTAGAATTTTCGTATTTAGATCAAATATGCGCAGTTTTATTCGATAACTTTTATCCATTTTGAAGGCAATTTCATAATTTTCGTCTCTATTGGTAATAAAATTAAGGCCAGTTTTTTTTATCATCAAGATAATTTATTTCGTTACGTTTCAGCAAAGAATCGCAGGCATCAATTCGCTCCAAAAGGTTTTTTTGCGTCAATTCGTGTAGCATCTATACATCGAGCTTCTTCTTGAAACCAGCCTTATGCAAATGGTTCCAAACGGTTTTCTGGCTAATCTTCAATTCATGGGCAATGGAATAAATACTCGCATGGACCGGCATTCGACGATTTCCATGATTTTATCAACATTTTCGACAATTGGCCTATCAGACGCTATGTCGTCTTTAAGTCGCAGTATAAAATGACAAGATGCAACGTATACATCTTGAGATATGGCTCAGAACATTTTACTTCACCCAATATAAAGATTATATAAAAATAAATAAAACAATTACCATGATGAAAGTGGCATCCCTTGTAATGCAATTTTTTTCCACTTTTTCCTATGCCTTTCTCCCCTGTACAAAGTGCGCGAAAGTTTTCCACAGTTTTTGGAGCTATATTATTCTTCAATTCGATTATGATGCGACCCGCTGAAAATAAAAGAACGTATCGTTATTTAAGCTTGCAAATATTGGAACATTGCATATTTAAATACATATATATAGCAGCTGTAAATAAACATAGATTGTTTTGACGTTGGCGTTCAATCAGCATACAATAGAAATGTACCAGATTCATTAATATTGCATTAATCTGAATACAAATTCAGAATATTTACGCAATAAAATACAGCCCTCGTAATGTAAAAAGTAAATGGGATAAATTGATATTAAACAATATATCGTGTTCATAAAATTCAATAAATAAAATACGAAGAACTAATTCAGTTCTAAGCTACAATCAGATTAAAACGTGCAAAATATGTTATTTCTAGTATGAATGAAAATAAAAACAAGATAACATTTCAAATAAACGATAAGAGTTGTTGCAAGATGATTAAGAAAAACACACATTTCTACAAATATTTGCAACAAAATAATATTGGCAATGTTTCTGAAGCTGATGATACTTGCAATTATTTGATGATTTGGTTAACCTTAAAGAAAAAAAATATAAATGATAATAACATACAGAGAGGAAAAAAACGGTTTTATACTGAGTTAAAGCAATGTGATACAAATATAACAATATAGATAACAATATGTTAAAAAAAGAATAAATTGTTACTAATTATTATTATTGTTATGTCGTGTCAATTATTATATTAAAAATATAACATCTCTAATTTATTATACTAGAAAACAAACATTCTTTTTTAATTTTGTTGTAATTATGTTTACCTTTTTCTCTATCAATACGTATATCCAGGTAGACATAAACATTTTCGATGGGAACATCTTCGGATTTTGCGAAGTCGTCTGCGGTCTTTGCCACTTGTTCCACCATATTTTATGCGTACTCTAAATAGTCTAAGGACGCACTGCATCGAATGCACTTGTCGCATACATTTTATCAATTATCGTACCTACTTTTTTTTTTCCCTCTTAGCATAAATCGTCTTGTTCAATTACATTAAAATAGCGCTTTTGACAGAATTGGCGAGATTAGTCGAACGGTCGAATCGGTTGATTCGAATAAGATTTATTTTGGAACGATTTTCATTTTTGTAAACAACAGTCTTTAATTAATGTGCTATTTATAGATGGAATAAATAAAGATATGTTTTCGATTTATTCTATATAAAGATGTGTTTTTTTTTGTATATAAAGAACATCAATACATTTGTAGACAACCCACATTGCATTGAGTTAAGCCAAGATACAAATATGTATATTGTTTTTATCTAATGCTTGTGATTATATAACATATAATAAAATTGAAGAAGCCTTCTTGTTAACCATTAATTGAGTTCAAACAGGTGTCATTACTCTAATAATCGTTTACATTTAAAAGAGTTCATCTAGAATCTTTTTGAAATCCATGAAAATACATTTTAAATCTTCTTAGAAATAATTCTATAATTTGTTTACAGATTACTTAAGAATGCAGAATATTATACAGTTTCAGGAAAAGGATTTATTGATAATAAAATATATATATTGAAACAACTAATAATATCATAAAAATACAGAATATAACAAATAAATAATGTCTTCTTTTTGTAGTCTACAGTGAAATACATGTAATAAAAGATGACAAATTATTGATACTCAATGAAAATGAATATTTACAATTAAAAAAATATTAAATTTGGATAGTTATGAAGTGGAATACAATACAATAGACCAAATGTAAAAGGAGGAAATTATTATGAGAAAATGTTACATTCAAAGCCAAGTAATATTGGTTTTGAATGTGTTCACATAAATTGTAATTGGTTGAAAAAGAAAAACAACAATGAAAATAGGTTGATATTTCAATCTAATATATGTATAATTTTAAAATATAGTAAATATATTGTATAACGGAACAATTGATACATAAAAATTATTTAATACATAAAAAAAATCGAGCATCGAAACGCTTAAGAAATTGGTGTTAAAAAAATAAAATTATCTTTAAAATGAACTAAATTAAGTAAATCTAGTATATAAATAAATAACAAGTGTAATGAACACAGTTTTCATTTTTTTTTATATCACGTTTCGGTATGATAATAACACATAACTTAGTGTACTAATATGTACAAAGAGTTGATTGGAATGGTGGACTAGAAATTCATCAGTGGTGCAATTCATACTAACTTTAAACTAAGTAGTGATTATATTAGTTTCACTATAAGTAGACCAATTGCTGAACCTAGACCCAATCCGACTCCCATAAAAACTGTCATCATGGATGACGCTGTCTCCTTTTCGTGTTGATCGACGATCCTAAAAAATATATAGTTAATACATATTGATAAAATTATGGTAAACAACTCTCAATACCTCGGGGCACAAATAACCGACAGATTCGCCAAGTAACCGTTGCTTATAGAAAACAGTGTAATGACTGTGATATAATAATAATCTTTGTTAAGCAGCACGGGTAAATTTGAATGCCTGGGTTGAGCATTGCAGAATAGAAGCAACGGAATGAAGACAATTCGCATTAAATTGATTACTATTATCCATTTTCCTTTCTTTGGCTAAAAGTAACATAAAATGAATTGTTATAATACACTAAAAGTTTAGTTTACTAACCTTCTGGAAGTAACCGGCTAAAAGCCTTCCAGTGTAATCGCCGGTGCTAAATAATAGATACGAAACGACAGGAACAAAGTAAGTGTCTGAAAAGGCGAATGTTTAGCTTTTCTCTTAATTCGATCGAATGGTTAATTAGCACTTACTGGTCCAAGCACTTCCGCTACTTTTGTCTTCTGATTCTATTAGCACCGAAACTCCCGGATAAATGGATAACGTGATTGTGAACACTAAGAATACGCTAACTCCGTAGGTCCATATCTTTCTTAATATCGTACTGTAGTTCACTATCCTCGGGCGCGATAGTTCAGTTTGGAACTCGTTCACCGTAATTCCAGTCTTCTCGGAGATGTGGTATTTGAAGAAAACTGTTCTGGAGAGTACCACGTAACTGACGAGTGAAACGAGGATCATCAAGTTGCCGATCATAAAGTATACGAAGGCGCTGAACTGCGAGGATATTCCAATAGCTAAAGAAACGATCTGCGCGATGGCAGCAAAAATTCCACCTAAAGCTTGTCCACCGACAGTTGCAGTGATGTATTTCGGAGAGAACTTTCCGATTATTCCGAAAATGCTACCCGATAAAATTGCGCTAAAAGCTGTTTCCATAAATTAGCATTACAATAACGTGTGAAACCAACAAACAAATAACTTACCGTTCAGTAACACTACTGAACAAAGTGTTAGCAAGAAAAACGTTTGTTGCCCTGTAATAAAAAAAAAACAGATTATATTGCAAACATCAGCAAATAGTAGTGTCATAAACTTACACTCGTCTGTGTTTACTTTTACAAATACAGTGGTTATGATAAATAAAATGAGCATACAGCTCAGAGATCCTAAAATTCGAAACTGCAAAGATATCCTGAAAAAATATATATAAATATACATTTTTCTTTTATCCATCGCAACCTTACCTTTGGCTAAGTATAGTTGTCAATAGTAGAAAAGCAATGTTTGGAGTTGAAGAAGCTACACTTAAGTACGAAGGAAATTCAGCTTGCATCGGAGTTCTTTTGCCATCATTTTTCATCAGATTTGTGAAATTGTTGTTAACATCACGGAATTTATACATCCAATACTAAAAAAAAAAGATTATGTTTAAACTTATTTGATTATTTATTATTAAATTTAATGATACCTTGTTGTTGTGGAATTGAATTAAAAATCAATATTGGACTAAAAACTGGGTCATAGGTAATACAGGTAGGAATTGAAGTTTTTTCAAAAGCAATAATTATTTTGTAAATAGTTTCTTTTTAACGTAGAACGATTGTAAACAAAGAGATTGTTTATCTAATATTTTTTTAACAAAAAGTGTACTTACATCATCTGCTGTGATGAAGAAATTCCATGGCATCAATGTAGTCATACCCAGTAAATAGAAAATTATATAAGCCAAGTTAAATTTATCATTAGGCTCGGGTTGCTTGAACAGGGGTTTGTTGTCTCTAACTACCACATTTTCCTGGTAGCTTTGTGTCCTCAAGTCTACATTCTCCTCCTCCGAGTCAGATTCTTGCAGCAACGGTCTAGTGTTTATCGAGTATTCCATGATTGAGAAATGTTTAGTTTTCCCCAAAGGGGGAAAAACACGTCCAAGTGCAATTCGTCAGATATCGAAAAACCCCTCAACTGGGCATGTTGATGCGAACCCCAATCCCTCCAACTGACAGATGCACGAAAATATATACAAAGCTACAGCTGACTTTTTTTTAGGAGTCACGTGACTGAAGAGCGGGACATTTAAATGTGTCGTTAGCCACGGATTTGATTTATTAGAAAATAAATTTGTTAAACCGATGATATTAAAATAAGGAAGTAATGAACGGTTCCTTGTATTGCACACACACAGTGTTAAAGGTTAATCCCATTGAACTTTATCATCGGCAAGCACTGAGGCGTGCTTTATACTCAATTTGTTATCAGTAGACATGACTTTTTGTCCGATATAACACTGACGCATAACAAACAATGTTTATTCACACAATTTACTAATGCAGTACAACGCATATACTTTAAGCATTAGAATATGTTATATAAAAATGGTACTTCTAATGCTATTTGCTGTAGACATATAAAATATGTCTACTATTTGCTGCTCATCTCTATTGTACTACTATTAATGTTGTTTAATACAATCAAATGTATTGTTAAAGTGAATTAACGCTTGCATATACGGGTTACATAATTCGGTTCATTGGTCAATGGCCTTATGCCATTAAATAGATTAAAGTTTGTATGACAATAATACTAAGCTTAGAAATAGATGAGTTTAATTAAAACCGTATCCTGTTAAAATTATCTATTGCAGCAATTTAATTTTGTGTACAATTTATTTTCGGCCAAATGAATATTGTATAATTATTGATTATATATTTTTGTATATACTAAGGATTAGTGATTTATCCAATCATTCGTTTGGCTTGATAAATAATCAACTTCAGATTGAAATTTGAAAATATTTATACTATTTGTATCATTATGTAATTAAACTATTATTATATTTTTTTTTGATAGATTTCCTTTTTGATGCTTTGAGAATGTTTGTCAATAATCTATGTTGGAATGAAGAAATTTAAGTGAAACTGCCCTTAACCTTAACCCCGGAAATGCGCAAAACTCGTTGCGGAGGAAATCCTTTGGAGGAAGGGAATCGCGTGTCGTCGATGCGGCGCAACCGCCCCAGAGTGGCGCGTCAATCGATCAGCCCTTTTCCGTAGCGTACAAACAGACATAAGCTGCTGGCGTTCCTTGAAGCGATTACACACTCGCCCTTCTTCGATTTTCGCGTGCGCAATTTACCAACGTTTTTGGCGGCGGAGGCAGTCTCAACATCGGAGGGAAAACGTTAAAATTGCTCCAACGAGGAATAGGTTTTCCGGTGTGCTGCAAGAGCCGGCAGCAGGACGCTTTGCAAAGTGTACCCGAGTCCGGGCTCGGCCCGCAGCGTCTGGGCCTTGCCGCAGACGTCCTGCAGCATGGTGGCCGACACCGACCATCCTGCTGCCTCCGTCACCAGAGACTCGAACCTCACAGAAGCTGACATTACCGACCAGACACAGAAAAGTATCTTTGATGTTGTCAAAACGGGGTAAATAACTTTCATCAATACCATCAATACCATGAACACCATTAATCATGCAACTAATTATATACATATATTTTCAAAGTTCAACAACACCAACTTATTTATTTGAACGCCATTACTGTAATCTCTTCACATCATGCTTCTAATCATTACCTTTCTTCCCCTTATCTTTAGTGCCCTTTCCTACGTACAAGAAAATAAACAATACATTTGAATAGTTAAGTTTAAATGTTTAGTCATCAAACCTGGTTTTTGCTTTTCTTTTAACTTTCGTAAGTCTTCTCTTGTCTACAAAAAAAACAACAACAGTTAATTATCAATTGAAATACTTAATCGAGTACCTTTTTGTGAAAGTATTCTCCTTCGTGAGCAGCTTGTTTCTCTTTGAGCGGCTCCGGATTTTTACCAGAGGACGTAAATAACCTGATAAAGTTGACATTACTATAAAGGTTTATCTTCAAAAGATTGATGTATAAACTCATTTTGATCACATAAGTTTTTTTTTTTTATACTAAACAATTTTGACGTTAGAAATTGATGTGATTAATCGAAAACAGAAAAAAAAACAACAACAACAAAAAAAACTATTCGCTTTTCATGACTCACTTATCAATTGGATTTTCCCGAATTGATTTCAGGGAGGTATCGGACATTGAAGATCTCGTCGAAAAAGTCGGTACCCAGGTGTTGCGCGCGCGAGATGAATGGGGCTATACTCCTGCCCATTGGGCTGCTCTGGATGGGAACGTGGAGATTATGAGATACCTGGTGGACAGAGGTGCACCGATTGATCTGTCCTGCCTGGGGACTCAAGGCCCGAGACCAATACACTGGGCTTGTCGAAAGGGTCACGCCGCTGTAGTTCAGGTGCTTTTGCAAGCGGGAGTTGCCGTTAATGCGGCTGATTTTAAAGGATTAACACCTTTAATGACCGCTTCGATGTTCGGCAGGACAGCCACGGCGGCTTTCCTTTTAGGTATGGGTGCTATGAACCACTTAGTTGATATAAATGGAGATACGGCGCTCCATTGGGCGGCGTACAAAGGACATGCCGATTTAATCCGTCTTCTCATGTATTCTGGTGCTAATTTGCAACAACCAGATCACTTTGGTTCGACTCCGCTGCATTTAGCGTGCCTTTCTGGAAGTGTAGCTTGCGTTAAAATACTGTGCGAGAAAGTAAGTTGGAAATTGAGCGTGTTGAGTGTTTTTTTTTTAAATATGTATGTTTTTTAGAGTAACATAGATTTGGAGCCTTTGGATAAGAATGATAAGACTCCTCTGATGCTAGCGCAAAGTCACAGACATGGAGAAATTATGCAAGTGCTGCACACGGAGAAGAAGCGACGCAGCAGCTGGTTTCCGCCGATTAATGAAGTTTGGGGTTTGATATTCGGACGAGCTGGCAATTCTAAAGCGCCTTTAATTTTTTTTATGGCTTCGGTGCTACTTTGGGGATACCCGATGTATATCATCAGGGTGAGTTTTTTAAAGCGCTTCATAAAAATTTGATCTTATTACAAAGACGATGTTTTCAGGTCGTTCCAGTTACTTGGAATATCTTGCGGGCTTCGCATTACATCTTCATTTATTGGAACATCGTAATGTGGGTCTGCTGGGTGATCGCTAATCGTAAGGATCCCGGTTACGTGCCTATGAGTTCGGAATCTTATTATAGAGCAATAAAGCAGATTCCCTATTTCGATAAGTGGAAGAAGCGTAATGCTATATTAAACAGGCTGTGTCACACCTGCAGATGTCTGAGACCGCTGAGGGCTAAGCACTGCAGGATTTGCAATAGATGCGTGTCTTATTTTGACCATCACTGTCCATTTATTTACAACTGCATCGGTCTGCGAAACAGATCGTGGTTCTTTTTGTTCGTCGTCAGCGTTGCCATTAACTGTTCGATAACCATTTACTTTGCCACCTATTGCATTGCGATCGAAGGCTTCGGCATCATGTATGTGCTTGGTTTGATTGAAGCCTTTGTATTCTCGGGACTCGGATGGATATTAACCTGCACATCTGTAAGTGACTTTACAACTATTGACTAACATATTAACATCGTTTGTCTATTTCAGGTGTTGCATGCTTGCATGAATCTTACAACCAACGAAATGTTCAATTACAAACGTTACGCTTACCTTAGGGACAAGCGCGGGAGGTACTTCAATCCGTTCTCCCGTGGCCCCATTCTAAATTTAATCGAGTTTTTCTTTTGCACGCCCGATGAGTTTGACGATGATTATTACGAATTTATATGATACAAATATTGCAGTACCGTTAAATACGCTAAAAAATGACGAAATTTATGCGATCTCTAATTTTCCATTATCTGTTATGTTTTTCTACAATTACCGATTACTCTTTAAGTCGTTGACGCGCCGTTCTGGTGTTCATTAAAAATAAGATTAATAAAATATTTTCACTCTAAAAGATATTTTTTTTTATTACTAACTAGTACCTATTATTATAATAATTAATTAATATATAATAAACACAATAAGCGCCATTACAAAGGATAAGCAATACAATTTTCTTACAATAAGACAACCATGAGCAGTTAATGTTATATAAAATATTTATTGTTAAAATATATATTGAAATATATATAAAATTTTGTATAATTTATATATATTTATATATACACATATCAAGCACGAAATTTTCAAATCTAAAAAAATGTTGCATAATTTACACATACACATTAATTACATTGAAAAGTTCAGTGCGTAAATTATAAATGTTGAAATTGTAATAAAATATAGATTTCATATAAATATGANNTTATTTCACCTTACACAATTTCATCTATCTATCTATAATAAATCAATAAGTTATAAATATTATTATTTTTTTGTACTGTAATATAAAAAAAAAGAACCAATAGTAAACTATATACCTTTAAACTAAATAACAATTTGCTATATATAAATAAATTGATGTTACACTTTAGGAGCTCTTACTAGCGATTATTATAAACAAATTGTAAGGTACCTTGAGTGCTAGATCCTTATTATCGTCATTATGCGTGTATTTCAAATTTTGAGCTTCCTTCATGTAGTCGTCTATGTAATCATTTTTCATGTTTTCAGGAATGTTGTTGATAAATGGATTCACCGCGATAACAGATTCTAAAGAAAGAAAGAAAGAAAGAAAAATAAATAAACTGAATATTTCAAATGTTATGTACATACTTTTCAAGACATTCATATCTGGGAAAGTGTAATTCCTCTCGACGACTTTACATTGATGAACCGAAAAACCTTCTTCGATGAGCATAGTTTCGAAGACTTTTTCGGGATCCTCGCAGTGCTGGTATGGCGATATGAAAAGCTCGTAGTTCTTCATGTAATGGCTCCATTTTGGGTTTTTAGCCATAACTTCGTATATATGGAAAATCGGATTGTTCGCGAGGAATGTGAGCAAAACATCGCCACCGGGCTTCAGCAAATTATACATATTCTTTATGGTTTGCCTGCGGAGAAAGATAAAGTAGTATCATTTATATAAATATGGATAATTATATGTAATGTGTAATACCGTTGATTTTGGACCCAGTGCAAACAGTAAAATGAGAAGATATGATCGAACTCCTCACATATATCGTTTTTGATGTCTATTGATGATATGTCGGACGCGATGAAATCCACTTTGGGGTTTTCGTTCTGGCTCTTTGCGTGCTTTACCATCTCCGGCGAAATATCTAAACCGACGAGTTTCTTAAAATCTTGAGGAAGCAATGGCAGCAGTATATTGGTGGTGACTTGTCCCGATCCACAACCAACGTCAAGGGCATTATCCTGGCCCTTCCATTTAATCAATCTTATATAATTGTCCAATACATAATTGGCGTCAGTCGTCTGCAGACCGTGGTATTTCGAATACAACGTAGGTTTGTTCATGTTGATTTCTCGAAAATATTTAACTTTTACAATAACAAGAATAACAACAACAACAACAAAAAAGCAAAGTTTTGTATGAGTGTCTCCTGTTCTTAGGACACGGGTCGCGTTTAATGACTACGGAGGATTTTCGAGCAACCGCGGCTTATATATTTTTTCGGTGGGGGAGAAGCGACGCTTGGACCAGAATTTTGATTTTCGTTGCCGAGATGAGCTCTTATAACGAGAAATCCAATTGGTATATCGGCCTTAGAGTACCTCCTCCCTAAAATCTCTTCGAAATTAAGGTCAACATTAAACAAATATATTTAATGCACCAACAAATCCCTGAACTTCAATTTTTCTAAAAGTTTCAATCTTAATATTCTAAATATTATTATTATTTAAGATCATGCTAATAACATTTATTCTCTTTCAAATTAGGTGACGGAAATACCAACACTTGCGTAAGATCTGATAAAGAAATCGTCGTCGAATGATTGTGTTCTATTTATACAAAAAAAAAATAAATAGATCTTTACACTACAATAGCTTTGACCTCACTTGAAAATCATTATAAATCTAAATTTCATATTTCTCAAAGAAAATTGTACTAATGTACTCATCGACGCACAACTCACAGCACAACACACGTACGAAATAAAAGTTTTAAAAAGTTTAACAACGAAAAACTAAATAAATATATTATAAGAAATAATGCATTTCAAAAGAAATATATTTACTTTGTTTTTTATTATATTTTTATTTCAAATTTGTTTTGAATTTAGGTCATAGAATCAAGTTTAGATCAATTTTCAAATTATGAACAAAAAAGAAGAAGTGGAATTTACATATTGGGAATGATGGAAGTGATACTGTTGCGCATTGTAAAGATTGTGATTTAATTTTAGACATTGTTGTTGTTATTGCAAGAGAAATTATGCGGACGAACTTTATAATGAAACAGGTGTTCCTCGATGATACACCACAAGGGTATCGGGATTGAGATAGGTTAGTTGCGAGTTTGTGGTCTATTATCCATCCATCCAAAGAGAAAATGAGCGGTAAAAAAGTTGTTTCCTAATTAGAAGAAGTCGTTCCAGGTCGTCGATGGAATTTAAAAGAGAACCTTTATTTTCGAGCTTGCAATAAATCCATCAATTGTATCGACAACAACGATCATAACATTTTGATTAATTCATTGTTTAAACGATCGATAACATCTTCAAGATTTATTTATGTATATTATTTTGGGTAACATTTTTCTTGGTATGTGCGTGTGCGTGTGAGTGCAGCAGCAGAAAAATATCCGAGGCGGTTCAAACTGACCACTACAACATTAAAATGTTTAGGAACCCGAAATGTGAGTTCTTCGACGAGTCGGTCAATAAACCCGGCGGAACCAGTGAAAAACAGGCGTTTCTCATGGAAAATAAAACAAAACGTTGAGGATAAGAAGACCTGACGAAGATACAGATTGCTATTGTGCTTGGGCGCGAGCGAGCGAGTGAAGGAGCGGTGGTAATTGTGTCTGGTCAGGGCTCTTCGCCACTCTTTTCACACACAGGACATATCCATATATATATATATATAATGTATATTTATTACTTTATTTCGTATCGGAATGCCAGTTGCAACTTCGTTTCTTCGTGCACCTTCCTTAACAATCGAAGAGCGGGCCACATTTTGCCCAATTTGCATATGCACTTCGTATGTCCCAGACGAATCGAACGTTACCTTTACAAAAAAAGAAAATACTTAAATTACCTATAAAATAATAACGACAATTATACGAAAATCAATAACAATTATTCATAAAAATTAATATTTAATTGTGTTTGCCCATAGATATGAATTAAACATACATTCAAATACGTAATACACATATAACTATAAAAACATAATAAATCAAATATAATTGAATCGTAAATTGAAGATAATGTTCAACGTGTTTTCAGAACAATAAATATTTAGAAACGTACATATCAATACTTAATAAAAATGAATTAATTAAAAATGTTTTAATTCACAATAAAGAAAAGTTCTTATAATTAATTAAAAATTAAAAAAAAAACTGTGATTTTTTTTTTACACAATTCAAAATTAATCCTTTCATTTGCGGATTTAAAACATTTCTTTTTTGAAATGTTTCGGTTGTGTTAATTTTAATTACAATTAAAACAATCCTAATTATGCGCATTTTACAAGCTCGCATCCTACAAAGAACGTTCCAATTAACGCTTAATTAAAGAAAGACAATTATTTTCTTGTTTACGTATGCGCATAATGAAGACAATAATCTGCGATGTACCATCCATTATATGTTTCTCCATTTCGTATTATGATAAATTATGTCCAATAGGTCAAGGCTTTAACTAGTTTATCTCTCAGCCTTGATAATATAACAATAACTATAATATATTTTTCCACTAGGGAAATGTTTCTACAATAGTTATGGATATAATTTTCTTTCTCTACAGTTTAGTTTATCATTTAATACATTTGCTATTAGAAAATAAACGACTATACGAACTACATACTCACTTACGTGGTTAATTTACCTACTTAGAAAATAATACTCGTAAATTAGAATTATATTTACGTAATGTCTTACGCATGTATATATTTTATGCATTTAACATGCAAATATTTCTAGTTTTACTTAATAATGCATTTGCATATAAATAAGTGATATAATTTTTTGTATTTTATAGTATTTTCAAATAATATTAACTCGAAAATAATTATGTGTAATAAGTTGGACTCGAAACTTCATTCTCACGATAAACATGTGCAAACTTCATTGCTTTTTATTCTTATAATTTAGTTTTTTTTTTTAATTTTGTTACATTACGGTATAATTTGTTAATTTTTTGTAAACCAATGTAAAATTGTCAGCAATCGACTGTAATATTGTGTAAATTATTTCTGAAGAGAAACTTAACTTTCTTGACAGTGCTTTCCAAGAACGTTAGTCATAGTTTCTTCTTAATCGTAGTCAATGGTCTGGATATTTACTTATTTCTTTTGTAGATTTCGCAACGTACGAACTTTCTAATCTTAATGTACTTGATAATTAGTTGCTAACATGAAAATATCATTGACAACTGATCATATAATTATGAAGATAACGTTGATGTACATTTGCTGAAACGTTAATGATGTACGTTTAATTTTTTTTTTGCTTTTAAATGAGAAATTGTAATTATACAATTATAATACTATATGTAATATTTGTCATTAATTTGAATTTTACAGAATAATGAAATATTAATGCATTTTTGATGATCTCCAAATATTATTTATAGTAGGATTGATAATAAGTTCTAGCTAGTATAAAATATTACAAACGAAGTTAAACTTCGGCTAAAAAAGCATGATCGTATTGGGATTCATTTTTGTGCTCATATCACAGAGTTATCAAAGTGAAATCGATGCATGTTTAGCGGAAATTCCGAAAAATGTGATTCGATTTGATACTGCTATAACATTCATTGATGTCGAACCAAGTGTGTCCGCTCAACCGAGAATAATTGTAACGGTGAATCACCTAAGAAATATGTCGCCTTTCAGTTCCGATCTTTACGTGGCATCAAGTGAAAATCCGGACCACTTATTTAAAAATCTTTACAGATGGAAGTTCTGGAAACCAGATGTACGCATTTTGGTCTTCACCGAACAAGATACAAAAGAGGTCTTCTACACTGCCTCGACATATTACATAAGCAACTTATTGGTGATTAAAAACTTTTCTTTCGTGTACGAATACAAACCGTACGTTGAAGAGAATTTACATTATCCAAAGATTGAACCAACACTTTTGGGTAATTGCAGTGCGACGGTTTTTGTTAGCAAAAGGCCGAAGCTGTGGCGAAATACAACTTTGAATTATTCTTTAATTCATATAAAACCATTCACAAATGACATGGAAAATAAATTTGGATACGAGAATCGTATAATGGAAGTGGTGAAGGAAAAACTCGGATTCAATATAAGTTACCACCATCACCATTTCAATGACTGGGGTTTAATAACGAACGGAAATTATTCGGATTTGCTGGGTTTGTTGCACGACAGGAAAATTGATTACGCCATGGGCTTTTTTACATTGAACGGTTTGACTGCCGACGATTTTTCCGTGACGTATCCGTACATTGTAGATCATTTGGTTTGGGTTGTCCCGAAAGCAAAGTTGAGTAAAGTATCATTATTTTTTGTTCATGTAATAAAACCGTGCACTTTCCTATTGTTTGCCATCATTTTGCTTGCGTTTGTAATCACATCATACGGATTATTAAAATATCAGAAAATCAGTAGCCCTTTTTGGAAAAGCTTCGCCTTGTTTTTTAATATAACTTTATCGACTCCATCTTATTACATTCCCAAAAGGAAGTATCTTAGGCTACTGACAATGTCCTACTTCATTTACAACTTTGTAATTCAGACCCTCTTTCAAGCACGTTTCTCCTCCTCCATGATTCCAGACTACGAGAAACAAATTGAAACTGGTAAAGATATAATCGACTCTGGAATACAATTTGGATATTTTGGAAAGATTTTCAAATATGCTCTTAACGATGACGAACGGTACTTTAACAACCACCGGAGACTCTGCACAATTAGTATGCAATGTTTAGATCAAACTGCGTTCAAAGGTGATTTTGCTACAGTGATTTCGAAGAAAACCATCGAGTACTTACTTCCTATATCGTACCTTAGGAAGAGCGGACGTCCTTTGATTTATATACTTAAAGAACCCGTCTCCATGGAATACATTTCTATTTACTTCACTAAAGGAAGTCCAATTGCGTCGGATTGCAACAGAGTCATCCGTAATATGCTGAAAACCGGGCTGGATGAATACATTTGGGAAACTATGATCTACAAATCTATTCTGGATGCAAACAAGATTGAAAGGACGTACCAGTTGAAAGTTAGAGCATTCACATTCAAGCACATTCGTTTCTCAATCATTATTTTATTTACATTTCTCTGTATTGCGACCATAGTTTTTGCTATGGAATTGCTTTGGTTTCACTTGATTAAATATCAATTGAAATAATTGTAAATATTATTTAAATTGTCTTTGTAAAACAAGAATAGTTGAACAAAGAGAATTCTTCATAATTGTTAAAATAAATTGATAAATCTCTTTAACATCTTATTGATTGTATAAAGTAGTATAGTTGAGTTTTTTTTTGTTGGAAATAGGAAAAATACAATTGGAAATTATTTATTTATTTCTAAATACACCGACTAACATATTTCACATTTAAATATTGCATTTTTTTGTTCTTTTTCGCTACAATTGAAATATCTGAAACAATTATTCTTATAGATTGATTACACTATAACAATAGGAAGATAAACAATAAATATTTCTAAAAAAAAAGTGTTGGAAAACAATATGTATCCTAAAATGCATACATATAGAATATATTTCTGAAATAGAAGAGTAGGAAAAATAATTATTATAACCATGTTGTAGCTTCTCGGGCTATTGAAAAAATCCTTTGTTGACATTGAAGACTAAACATCTTAATACTTAACTACATTTATCTTACAAAAGACACAAGGTATAAATGTTACGTGCTGCTATCCAAAAATACATAGAAAAGTTATATTTCAAAATAACGTCGATAGATATTCGCTTAATCTCATAAAGAAAACGTGATTTGTGGTTTCGACATTTGGAATTACTTTACGTTAATCATACCGGAAAAATCACTAACAGGTGTGCTCTACTCTTAAAATACTTCTAAGACTGTTGTTTATATGAGATTAAAAGTTTACTGATTGTTGATCATTTATATCTAAGAATCTTACATTGATGCACATCGAGTCACAAATATCTAACATACAAAATATATATTTATATATAAATATCAATTTTCTACATCACAAATATTTTTTCTGCACCTAAGTTATATTGCGATTGCTTCCATTTTCAACATTCATATCAATTTCTGTTTCAAGTCTCGTTTTTTTATTTTATTTTGGTCAATTAATTTTGGCAATAACTAAATGGGAAGAATAATTTCAAACTGATTGTTATGAACGAAATAAAATATGCTTATAATGGGCAGAAAGCCCTTGTATATGTATTAGTAAATACAATAATTCTTGTTAAATTCTTATTGTAAATAAATAATCATTAAGTCAATAAAAATAAGAAGTGACAAAATAATAATTAACAAATTAAAACTGGAGCTGTATGGTAAATATAAACTCGATTATAATTCCCTAATTAAACGATATCACAAGTTGTCTATAACACATATATATATAGTTAATCCTTAATATTCAAGTAGTAAATAGTTCACATTAAAAAGGAATCTGCTGAGACTTACCTAATAAAATCTGTGTCAATATAAGTTTATATAAAATAATGGGTATGTTTAAGAAAATTGTAATATTACAGTTGATCAATTTACATTGGAATCGTTAACATTATCATCGGTCTGAATCGAGATTTCAGATTTGGTATTCCAAACCATTGCCGCTTCCCTAGAAACAAACAATTAAAAACATTTGCCAAAAGCCGGACAGCCCACGTGTAACACATTTACCTAGTGCATTTTTCAGGCAGAGTAAGTGCGATGTGCCAAAGCACGCCTGTAAGTATGACCGACCAAGTACGTAAAGGTCCCAAGACAAAAGCCATCGTGCCATAAGCCAGCCAAAACAGGTACGCCATGATTATTTGCAAGATCATTAACATCGCGAACGGCAGATTTAAGCTTATATGTGCCCAGAATGATTTCTTTAAACCAGGTTTGCTCACGTGATACCGGAACCTTCAAAAACCACATACGATATATTAATTGAAACTTTACCCTTATGTCCTTAAGAAGAATGCAGTGTGCAACCATGAAAATGGAAACGATTTTTTAATTGAAACCAATTTTACCAATAATTAATTGATGATTTTAGAAAAAATGTAGAAAATAAAAACTTACCTATAATCTACTCCGTTAGCTAAAATTAACACTTGCAATTGGAGGGCAAGAAGCTAAAACACAATGTGCTCGTTAGTAAATGCAGAACAGACTGTAATAATAGGTCTTTGCTAAATCAATAATATTCAATATCAGACAAAAATCAATAAAAATTAAATATTTGTTTTCGCATTGAGAGAATAGCACTATAGTCTCTTCTGTTATTATTTAGCTTGGTGTATCTTTATGAAAGTTATTTTGGTCTGATAACGATACGACTGATATCACGATTACTTACTTGTAAAGTGCCGTACGCGTATGTAAAGGAACCAGGAAGAAAAGATCCATTTACGAAAGTACCCCACGGGAACACTATTCCAATATGATCTTCAATTATGTATCCTACTGACCAAGGGCCAAAGCTGAGGTAAATCGGGTATAATACTATGGGCCAGAAGAGACGGTCAATCGACGATAGAACCCACATCTTTCGAATCCACGATTTTAATAAGCCTTTGCGCATAACAGGTTTCCTCATTTTCCCTTCTGAAATTGTAAGTATGTATGATTAAGTGTGTTTGTATTTACGACTTATATGTAACTCACGAATAACAAGTTTATGGGTAAATCTGTATGATATAATGGGAAGCAACAGTAAGACAAGGAACACGTAAAATACTCCTTTGAACTGAAATTAAGTGACTGTAAAGTTAAGTAAAGATAAGTAATATATTGATTACTATTATGCTGACGTTCCCCATCAGAGCAATCCTAGGCAACAGTTCGAAAGAAAGTCTCGTTCCATCTAACGAGAACGGTTGCGAGATGGTCTTTTCTCGATTTAATTCATCTTTCACAAAAACCTACAATTATTTACATAAGATTTACATAGTTAGGGATATACATTGGTGCACCTTAATGTGATGTAACCCTCTTCTATAAATACTCGGATCCCATTCCAATACATAAAGCGGCCCATTCTTGTGAATACATGCATGCCAGCCAGTTTCGTCTATATTCACCTGCACTTTAGTGATTTTACTCATCGAGAAGGCCAAAATCCTAAACAAAAAATACCGATATATCGAATTGTGGTGCATTACATAATATACCTTATGTGCGTCGAATTTGCTATCGATTCTATGTTTTCCTTCTCGGGAATGACGAAGAGTGCGTGTTTCGGATTGGTTATCAGGACGACGGGCCATTCCCTATGTCCAACGTCAGTAAATGAAATTAGTCCGTGATCGATTGCCATCAATCTATATCTGTTGAAGGCCAAAAAAACAATTTGTATTACTAATTTAAATTGTATAATTATATTTACCTTCGGTTATCCTTCCAATCGCCGAGCTCCAACTCTAAAAATCCATCTTTTTGTAGAGTGTACATATTGGAGACTAGTCCTCCCAACGTATGCAAATGTCCACATACATAAACCATTCCCTGGTCAAGGGTTCTCAATAACGATCGTATTCCATCGCTTTGGCTTATAATGCACGATGTTGGAAAGTGACCAAACCATACGGTGTGATCACTTTTACTCTCTTCCACCTTTTCAATTAACAGCTTTATTTCATCAATTTCTTGATTATCCAGCAGCCCAACAAAATTGAACGGTCTTCTGGGTCCGGGCTTCAAACATGCGTCGACGCCAAGGAATGAATACAATACACCGTTCTTCTCGATCTGATACAAGTATGATCTTGGATGTTCCTTCCCTTGGATTGAATAATTCGTGAAGAAATTTTGTGGAGATTCAAAATTAATCACATTGAAATTATCTGTTAAGTAAAAAAACATTAATGAAAAGTGTACATTTGCGTTTACAGATAAATACCATGATTGCCTCTAATGTCCAACCAAATAGTTTTGTTAAGTACATTTGCCTCTTTCAACACATCCTTATAGAATTCCCACTCCCCTTTGTTCTGCTGTGAACCAATGTTATCTGGGGTTTTGGCATCTGTTAGATCGCCAGTTGCTAAAACAACAGTTGGCTTAATAACGTCCAGAGTGAGGTGGCAAAACTCTCTAAATTCTGTTATTCTGGAATTTTCTCTAAATATGCTAATATGTATATCTGAAATCTAATAAAAAAATATTATTAATATTTATAAATAAAAAACAGAATGAGTAATTGTGTTTATGAACAATGGAATTGTTTTGTTAGTAAAGCTATGAAGATAACATTTCTTTGTTTAAAATTTAATTGTTAAATTACCTGCAGAAACCAAATCAAATTGTCAACAGTATCTGTAATTTGGGGTATTGCTCTCCTTGAACTAAAATGCTTTTCTTTGGTTTTACCACCTACTATGTATGAATCTTCATGGTTTAGTATGTTTGTTACGTTTGCTATTAAAATTGAAAATATTAGCATTAAAGTGATAACAAATATTGCCGATTTTGTGGTCCTCATTTTCTCTTTTCTATTTCAACTCGGATGATTAAAAAGGAACATCTCCACCGAAACCACTTAATACACAAATGATTTTTTTTGTTTGTTTAACAATGAGAATTAAAATAGTTTACGTACATTTGACAGATATCATCTGTCAAGCGCACACGAACGGTGTACTGGAATGTGCTCTACTAATAACATTGAACCAATTGGAAGTTAAGAAATTCTATGCTATACATTCTATCTGCTGAGAACATAGGGTTGCATAACATACTGAACAACTTTGAACTTATAATTTCTTCTATTTACCCAGTTTTATTGGATGTAATAAATTCCATAGTAATATGATGTTGAAGCTGATTCCACTACTACAATTGAAATATAAATATTTATTCTAAAAAGTATACATATAAAGTAAATAGAAAATTGCAGAAGAATAGAAATATATCCATATTTAATATCCACAGCATCTTAGGCAATTATATCCTGTAAATAGATAGTAACATATTACTCTTCAATATCTAACAATTAATTAGATTCATAACACATTTAGAACACTCGATTCTAATTTAACTATATCACAAATTGTTTATAACATAAATATTCTTAATATTCAAGAAAATTGTAATATTGTCAATTTACAATATCGTCGGTCTGATGTAACATTCCAGATTCGACTTGCCAAACCAGTGTCGCTTCCCTAAAAGCAATCAATTAAAAAACTACGTCCAAAACCAAATAATACAATTACCTAATGCATTTCACAGGAAGAGTAAGTGCGAGGTGCCAAAGCACGCCTGTAAATATGACCGACCAAGTGTTTAACGGACCCAATAGGAAGGTCACTGTACCATAAATTAGCCAGAATAGGTATGCTAAGATTATTTGTAAGATCATCAACATCGCGAACGGCAGAGTTAATTTCATATTTCCCCAGAACGATTTCTTTAAATCAGCTTTGACTATATGATATCGAAACCTGCAGTGCAATATCATAAAGATGAACGAAATATTTCCAAAAAAAAACTTACCTAGAATCTACTGCGTTAGCTAAATTGAATACTTGTAATTGGAGGATAAGAAGCTAAAACAAAATATGCTAACTTGTATATCGAACTATATAATATTAAAAATTTTTTGCTAGATGATGAGATAAAACTTACGTGTAAAGTGCCATATACATATGTGAAGGATCCCGGTAGGAAAGACCCATTTACAAAAATACCCCACGGGAAGACTACCCCAATATAATCTTCAATTATGTAACCTATTGACCATGGACCAAAGCTGAGGTAAATCGGATATAATACTATGGGCCAGAAGAGACGATCAATCGACGAGAGAATCCACATCTTTCGAATCCATGTTCGAAAAAAGCCTTTGCGCATAACAGGTTTCCTCAGTTTCCCTTCTGCAAATTCAAGTTGATTAAATTAGTTTGTATTTGAAATAATATGTAACTCACGGATAACCAGTTTATGGATAAATCTGTATGATATAACAGGAAGCACCAATAAGACAAGGAAAACGTAAAATGCTCCTTGGAACTGAAATAATGTGACTGAGTTACGCATAAGCGAGTAAGTTGTTAATTACTATTAGGCTGAAGTTTCCCATCAAAGCAATCCTAGACAATAGTTTAAAAGAAGGTCTTGCTCCGTCTAACGAAAACGGCTGTGAGATGATTTTCTCCCGATTCGATTCATCTTTTACGAAAACCTGCAACAAGCGTTTACATTTTAGATTTCCTTAGTCGTGGTTATAAATTGGTGCACCTTAATGTGATGTAACCCTCTCCCATAAATACTAGGATCCCATTCCAATACATAAAGTGGACCATTCTTGTGAATACATGTAAGCCAGCCAGTTTCATCTATATTCACCTGCACTTCAGTAATTTTACTTACTGAGAAGACCAAAACCCTAAGACAACACTAATGTATCGATTGAACGTGCATTACATGTTATACCTTATGTGTGTGGAATTTGCTATCGACTCTAGGTTTTCCTTCTCGGGAATGACGAAGAGAGCGTCTTTGGGATTAGTTATAAGGACGACGGGCCATTCTCGATGTCCAACATCAGTGAATGAAATAAAACCGTGATCGATTGCCATCAATCTATATCTATGGATAGACAAAGAACAAATCGTATTTGTAATTTAAATTGTGGACAACTCATTCACCTTCGGTTATTCTTCCAATCGCCGAGCTCCAACTCTAAAAATCCATCATTTTGAAGCGTATACATATTGGAGACCAACGTGTGCAAATGTCCACATACATAAACCGTTCCCTGTTTGAGGCTCCCCAATAACGATCGAATTCCATCACTTTGACTTAGAACGCACGACGTTGGAAAGTGACCGAACCATATCGTGTGCTCACTTTTACTCTCCTTCACCTTTTCAATTAACAGTTTTATTTCATCGATTTCTTGATTGTACAGCAGCCCAACAAAATTGAACGGCCTCCTGGGTCCAGACTTCAAACACGCATCAACCCCAAGGAATGAATACAATATACCATTCTTCTCAATCTGATACAAGTAAGATCTTGGATTTTCCTTCCCTTGGATTGAATAATTTGTGAAGAAATTTTGTGGCGATTCCAAACTGATGACATTGAAAGTATCTGAAGAGAAAATTTTAGTTAAAAAAAAACATATATTTTCGATAATTATATAGAAATACCATGATTGCCTCTAATGTCTAACCAGATAGTTTTGTTAAGAACATTTGCCTCTTTCAACACTTGCTTGTAAAATTCCCAGTCTCCTTTGTTCTGATGGGAACCAATATTGTCAGAGTCTGTGGCATCTGTCAGATCACCAGTTGCTAGAACCACAGTTGGCTTAATAACATCCAGAGTAATCTGACAAAATTCACTAAATTCCGTTACTCTTGACTTTTCTCTAAACATGCTAATATGTATATCTGAAATCTAATACACGCATTGTTAATAACAACAAAAATACTAATTTATATTAGTAATAAGCAATTGATTAAAGTTAACATTTCTTTGTTTAATAGCTAAATTAAATCATTACCTGCAGAAACCAAATCAAATTATCATTAGAATCTGTTATTTGAGGTAATGCTCTTCTTGGACTGAATTGCTTTTCTCTGGTTTGATCAGCTACAGTGTACGAATCTTTATGGGTTAGTATGTTTGTAACATTTGATATTAGCATAAAAAATATTACTGTTAAAGTAATAACAAATAACGTAGATTTGGTGTTCCGCATAATTTTTTTTTTTGTGACACGTTCAACTCCGTATTAACTAAATATTAGTATTGCTTTGTCAAGCACATGATCTATATGTCTGTACTGGTAATGACAGGCCAAGATCAAGGCTATCTATGCTCGTTGTTTGTATCACAAAATCCAATACGAACGCAGTGATATCGTATCATAGGTCAAATAATGGAGTTTTGTGAAAGAAAAAGAATTTTAATGAAAAAAAATATGGACAAAATAATATTTATAAATATACTTTCTTTCTATCTCTGGAGACGTTTAAGTTGCATAGCATATTTATCTACTTACAACTAAGCGCAAATTGGATGAATTGTGTTAGAATAAGAATATTTCTACAGTAATAAGTTTATTATAAGATGAATAATTCTCTAATTCGTATTTGTTGTTAAAAAATACTGTATATAAATTGACGTCAACATTGTTGATTTTTTTTTTAAGAAGTTCGAAAATTTTAGTATTCTTGTGATTCTTACAATTGATGTTAGAAAATAAATTATTAAAGGCACTAATAAAGATAATTCAATTGAATTTTGATGATTTTAAACTTAATATCATAAACTAATCAAGTTTTTGTAATTCATCGTTTGGAAAATAGACTTTTATAAATACTCGTGCTATTGTTATAATATAGTTTTTTTACCGATAATTTAATTGTAATACATTCAAATTATTCATTAAATGTTCATTATAGCTTTCTACACAAAAAACGGGGATTAGTAATATTGTTGAAATATTGCCTGATGAAGAGGGCTAGAGTGTCGGCCTTGGTTTTCATCCCGTCGTCGGTGAGCAAAAAGCATCCGTGGAATGCACACACACATACGCACGCACACATACAAGCATTGCGCGATTAACGCAATTATTTATTACAGGAGGAAAAAAAAAAGGCGACGTTAATTACTTAACAATGCATAATCTATATTTAGCGGCCGGTTTCTAGGAATTTTAGATACCACGCGACACTAGAAGAAAATGAAGGAAAACGAAGCAAAGTGACGAAACATCAAGGATTAATTCAGATTGAGTTATAAATAAAATAGTGTAGGTTGATGGAATGTTAGAACGTCGAATTTATCTGCTTTGTTCTCGTTTCTTTGTAATCGTTTATAATTTATAATCTATTAAGTTATTATTACATATTTTACGAAAACTTGAACACGTTTGGAAACTGAACAGACTTATTTATAACTTGACCGACTTTTATTTCAAGTTTTAGTCTTGTAAAATCTTCTATTAATTTATGTTGTACGGAAAATGCCGTAATATAAAAAATAATTTATGTGTTTGCTCATGATTGCTCACTTTGATGATTCTAATTACACTAATTTCAAATATCCAATTTATGATAGGAATAAAATGTAATTAATGTAAAACAAATCAAAATAATTAATATATATTTGCAGGATATCCGAAAAAGAAGAAAATATGAAAACGTAATAAACTGAAGCGAGAAGGAATTGGGTTAATATTGTTTCCTTATTTGTGGGTAAAAGCACAAGAGAGTTTAACATTTATTGACTCATTAATACTTAATGATCAATTTTTTTTATAGAGTTCAGCACAGTTTATCGCAATTAACATGGAAAATCTTATACATATGCATTTTGTGTTTTTTATTTAGTAACATTTATTTCGCAGTCATTAAGATTAGAAATCCATTTTACTTTATTATGTTTTGTTGATTCTTAGTTTGGTCCATATTAGAGACATAAAATAATTCTATTCATAATGATTTTAAAATATGTTTGATAAAACCTAAAAACAAACAGATTAGAATCAAATTATTTATGAAATTGGTCACATCAAGGTTTATAGCCACGATCTATGTCCATATGTTATTTAGAATAATTTATAAACGTATTTTCTGTTTTTCATTATATGTACATAATCATAATAAATAAAATGAATTGAGTAATTACATGCAACGGTATTAATGAAACGAGAATAGATATAATAGAAGTAACTGATTTTGGTTCGTCAAATTTATTAGTGATATCAAAATGTATTATTTATTTACGTATGAAAACTAAATGGATGAAGAATGAGAAATATTCGATGATAGCAATCCGATGATCTTATAAATATACAGTGGAACCTCGCTTAACGAGTGACGATGAGAAGAGAAGTCCCAGATGTGTATTTTTCAATATGATTAATTTCGTTAAGCGAGGTTCCACTGTATATGAAAATGTAAATTGAATACTTATAAGATGGAAATGTTGTATATAATATATTTTGTAATGAATATGTTAACTATGAAAATATCTATATGTATAAAATATGAATATGTTTCTGTTTTCTTTTTATTAATACCAATTAATGCGATTGAAAAGGAAGTGTAAAGAATGAGGGAATAATCGTTGATTGGGAATGATATAAATAAGTGGAGGTTCTTCATTTTATTTTTCCTCGTTCATCTCCTTCTTAGGATGCAAATGAAGATTTGTTCGCGGTCGCATTCTCCGGTGGAATAAATCAAGGCGCGATAATTTAATGATGGGAAGATTTTGGAATGTTGAATTTCAGATAAAATAAAAGGAGGCAATGATGAAGAGGAGTGGAAGAGGAGGAGAAGGACGAGGTAGATGCATGTGTTGCGTTGGTTTTGTCCATAAGCCTTCTCTGGTTCCTTTTGGTTATCTTGCGGAGGATTGAAAGTTATGACTGATTGTAATGCTCTTTCCTTTTCTTTTTTTGGGACGACCGATTTCCTTCCTCGGGGGTTAATAATGTGCGCGTATCTGGATGGGATATCTGGTAAGGTGATACGTATTTTATAAGAAGCGCGCGCGAAGACCGAGGGAATGGCAGATATCTTTGTTTCATAGCTGATGGCCGGTGGAATGTTAATTGCTAGCCAGAGCACTGCACTACGCTGTCCCATACCCATAACCATGCAGTTCCCACCATCACCATCATATTCACACACACACACACACACACACATACACTAATAGTCTCCTCTCATGGCCGAGAGAGAAGTCGAGGAAGGTGGACAAAGAGGGAACAGAAAATTGAATTCTTAAGAGTGCATTAAGTGAGTCATTGATTTTTGGATGCTCTTCCAAGAACCATCGACGACAAATGTTTTTAATTAAACAGAAACACCTAAATGAATGTCATTAATCTAGTTTTTTTTTTGTTCGCTGATGGTGGGAACAACGAAAATTTTGCTTTTTAATGACACTGTTTTTTCTTTTTTTGGTCATGAGTCGAGACGTAATAGCATAACAGATATTTGACCAAAGTTGATTGCATATATATGTACACATGCACACACAGAACATATATATGTGTATATAGTATTTAGTTGTTTTCGAGGGGAGGCGGCGGAAGGGGGTGCGGTTCGTAGGATGGATGGAGGGAGGACGGAGGCGGCGGCGGTCGATCTTCGCAGCCCAGGTGCATCGCCGCGGGGCCCGCATTCCGTACAAAACACGCGCTGCTGATGTTTGCTCATCCCCCCGCCTCCGCCGCCATTGAAATCAATTACACATATCTATACACTATTACTCTTACTTAGAGACTACCAACTATGATGATGTATATCGTGTATACACAAGCACAAACACACACACATCTGAATATCCCCCTCATGTAATCTCTTCTCCACAGAATCGCCAATGTATCAAGTACAATCCACAATTTACATACATCATTAAGTAGGAAATGGAAATTTATGTAGTCTGTTTCACGTAAACCATAGTATTTTTTCCAGCGAAAGATATTCCTTTCGATTATTCTCTCTCAAGAAAGTCCATTTTCATATACGAGAATCTGATTTCAATGGTAGAGCACAAGAGAAACCCGGTGTATTTTCATCGCTTCATTTAAATCTCAATTAATTACAACTTATCATATTATAATTACTTGCTAATTATTATTAGTTTTGTATGTATTTAGTCAAAGAAAACAACGACTTTTCTGCAAATCTTTTAGATTATTAAGTTTAGACAATACACATTAACTACTAATATACAAATCTTTTATAAAAAAAAAAGAAAACAGCTTAAAACGGAAATGTAACTCATTTGAAATCGTTTATAAATATCATTCACAACAATTTTTGATAAACTTCGTACCTAATTGTACCTAGAAAAAGTATAATTATTGAATATTAATTCGACCTTTATGCGCTGAACATCTGGATATGATAATGCTAATAACTAATAATGTTATTTAATAATAAAATATTTGTTCTAGAAGTTGAACGTTTCACATGAATTAAGATAATTCGGTTATAAGAAAATAACTTATAATAAGAGTTAACTCTTTTTACATTTAGTTCAAATCTTTTATAAAAAAAAAATAAAAGAAAACAGCTTAAAACGGAAATGTAACTCATTTTAAATCGTTTATAAATATCATTCATAACAATTTTTGATAAACTTCGTACCCAATTGTACCTAAAAAAAAAGTATAATTAATTATTATTGAATATTAATTCGACCTTTATGCGCTGAACATCTGGATATGATAATGCTAATAACTAATAATGTTATTTAATAATAAAATATTTTTTCTAGAAGTTGAACGTTTCACATGAATTAAGATAATTCGGTTATAAGAAAATAACTTATAATAAGAGTTAACTCTTTTTACATTTAGTTCAAATCTTTTATAAAAAAAAATAAAAGAAAACAGCTTAAAACGGAAATGTAACTCATTTGAAATCGTTTATATTATCATTCATAACAATTTTGATAAATTCGTACCTAATTGTACCTAAAAAAAAAGTATAATTAATTATTATTGAATATTAATTCGACCTTTATGCGCTGAACATCTGGATATGATAATGCTAATAACTAATAATGTTATTTAATAATAAAATATTTTTTCTAGAAGTTGAACGTTTCACATGAATTAAGATAATTCGGTTATAAGAAAATAACTTATAATAAGAGTTAACTCTTTTTACATTTAGTTCAAATCTTTTATAAAAAAAAATAAAAGAAAACAGCTTAAAACGGAAATGTAACTCATTTGAAATCGTTTATAAATATCATTCATAAC